GTATAACTGTGCGAAACGTTGTTAAAGTACAGAGCAACAAATCACATTTTAGCATTTATAATATTACATGCTTACTCTCATATGTATTATCTTGGATCTCATTAAGATTAAGAATTTAAGACATTACTAAAAATATTATATTTATCACTACATAAATATATATCACTACATATTATAAAACAAAGTCCTCCACCGCGTCTGTCCGTCTGTCTTTTCGCGATAAACTCAAAACTACTGCACCAATTTTCATGCTGTTTTCACCAATGGATAGAGTGGTTCTCGAGGAAAGTTTTAGTATATAATTTGTAAAGTTTTTGTATACATTGGCTAAATTATAACTATGTTTAATGGAGGTGTCGGAAAAAAATAAGCCGTCTGGGAGATTTCAACGAAAACACTGCCTAAACACTCCCTTTGACATATAACAAAATAATGTATAGTGGAATTGTGTACCTTATATACATCTAAAGAAAAGTCCGCGATGGCATATATCTATCTCTAAGGGATAACATACTATATCCATTTTAATTTAAAACGTACCTAGGAACGAACCCGAGCGAAGCGAGATAGAGTCGCTAGAACATATTATATAATATTATTCGGTTTAAAAAGAACTTCCATGGAGAGCAAAAATTACCTCATCTTTAGTTTCCCTAATAAAATTAATAAAGAGGAAAAATTATTAGTCCATTGCTGTTCGACTTAAATAAGATGACTAATATACTGTACCACCTCATTATATCTGGAGTATGACGTAAGTAATTTTTTTTATAAAAATTGAATAATTTTGCCAACATTAATTTGAAATAGGTATGTGATATTGCCATTCTGTTATGAATAAATATACTTCTACATACCTACATACTTAAACTTAATATTTCGAAACTATTAAAAACAAAATTGTTCTAACCAATTCTAACTTATAGCTTGTTAAATAACTTAAATATCTACTAAAAGAATTTTGAATAACGATTAATGACTATAATGAGTTGAAAACATGCAATTACAACATTTTATAATGTAATTTTAATGACCTTATAATTAATTATTCTACAGAAACGAGAATAAATCTAATTTTTAACTTGATTTGTTAGCATTATTGATTCATTAGTAAATTTTGAGACATTAGTCAAAGAAGAACTTTTTTTGTATTTAGGGTTTATCGACTCCGTAATCTGTTTATCGCTTTTCACAGAGTACCTATATTTTTTCTTTACCGTTAAGATATGCATTTACGCATACCACTTGCGCATATAAGTTTCACTGGCCAAAAAATCTAGTAGGTACTTCTCCCTGAGACCCAACAGAACTATCCTTAACTAAAGGGGCGTCGTAGGATCACAAAAACCACGATGACCCGGCGACTGACAAGGCAAGGCAGGCCACAACAACCTTTAGGTAGCTCCTACGGTCCACTTTGCTATCAAAATAAGTAACAAGAGCAACCCGCATGGTACACCGCCCACCAAGTAGACCCCAATCTTCATGCAGAATTGGGTTGCCGGATAAAGCAAAATTATGTTATCTTTATGTTTCTAAATTTTTAGCTAATTAAAAATCACAGCACAACCAAAAGTCCTACCGATTTTTTTTTTCGTTTTCTCCTACTTTCAAACATGCCGTCAATAAACAGTATTGTTTACTTATAAGTTTAATTAATTAAAATTCCATCAGCATACAGTTCGGCACATCACAAGGAACGGAACCGGATGTCCGGTTAGACATTTTATTTAATGAAATTCTTATGCGTCCCATTTTGGACCTCTAACCAATAAACATAAGTTGATGTTACAATTTCGTTTATTTTTTATCAAATATTCATACACTTAGATTTAATTAAAATAAAACACACTACCATCTACTTAATATTTAAAACAAATACAATTGTTCCGACATCTGTTGGAGACTAATAAACTTCTCAAAACTACAATTTCTACAAAAACAGCGCCATCTGTAGGCGATCTTGTGAACTGTTTTAAAAATTAAATAAGTCTAGACGTTAAGTTATTAATTATTATGTGATAAGCAAAAGAAATATATTCACTAATAAGTTATGCTAAAAAATATTTGATTAATAACTATTAAATTTCTTGTGAAAAATAATTGTATATATTTTTAATTAGTAATAGCAACACCTAAAAACCGAATGTCAAATGTGAGTTGTCAAACGAAATCCCAAATTCTTTTTTACTCTGTATTCGGAGAGACAGTTGCTGTGATGGACGTGTAGTTAGTGTTTTGTGAGATCGTATTTTATCATGAAAATATTACGGCTACTGTAATCGATTTGTTATATTATCATAAACTGTGCTGTGTGAAATGATAAAAATCTGAAAAAATAAAGGACCGGTGAAAATCAGCAAACATGGCAAAGTTAGTATCGTGTTTTAATTTTGTTAGAGTTAGACAATCATTCATAGACGAGTCGCATGGGCTTAAGACATCTCTGCGGTTGACTACATATTGTGAAATACTAATATGTAAATTAATTTTAAAACCATATGCCGTGTGAGTTTCATTTGTCCAATTATTATTTTTATCCTTCAAACGCCGAGCATTCAATAAAAAAGTCGATGTTTCTTAATATCTTGAAAAACAAACCTATACTGATTTATATTAAGCATTTATTATATAGTATTTGTTTATCAATTGGTCATATTTATATTAATTATTGTAATAAATTTTAATACTCGTATTATCCAACTTTATCTAATTTACGAGACTAAAAGATAAGAGCTAAAGGAGAGACTTTTTATAGATATGTTATTATTGTTTTTGTAATGTGTACTTTGGAATAACAGAAAGAAAATACACTATTTATTACAATATAAGATATTACACAATTGTTGGTTAGGCACAAATTCAGAATTGGGGACTTGGCCCCTAGCGGAGTGGGTGGTATTTCTGGATAAGGGACGTGATAGGGAGTCGAAATGTTAAATAATTTTTTTAATACAACAAAAGATTCAAAAGTTATTGAGACTTAAAGTTACAACATTTCCATACATTTTCATATATTTCTTTACCACCATTCGGAGTGGGTGGTATTTTTAGATAGGGGAGGTGACAGAGAGTCAAAATATATTAAAAATATTTGGAGGAAACGTATGACTAAAAAGTTATAAAGTTATAACATATCTAACACATTTCCATACATTTCTTTACCTAAATAAGTGATTACAACAGATAAACATACCTTTAACGAATAGTACGCATCCTTTTTTATGTACATTACACATTTTCACAACAATTAATGCTTTATTGTATTTAATATTTTAATAATTTCACAACACAAACAAAATGATCTTACATTTTGACAAAAGCAAAACTGACACTTTGTTTTATATTACCGCTTAAATGACAACAGATTATATTTGATTATTTTTGCTTTTTCTGTTGGTAAAATATTAATATTAATAAATAAATAAATAAAAAGAAAAATATTATTTTCATTTCATAAATACATTTATGATTTTTTATCTGATTTATGTAAAATATATTGTTTTACAATTGTACATTTAGTAAAAAAAAACATTTTTTTATCTGTGAATATTTTTCAGTATTATTGGCGGGTGTTCTTAAAATACCGCGAAGTTTCATAATTTGTGACTCTGTACTCTGTGTATTTTCCATTAGTTATTAGTTTTTGTTAATTTTTATATACTTTCGTTTCTTGTTTTTGTTTTAATATTATTTTTATAGTTTTAAGTGTTCATAGTGTTAGTGTAAACAATTTATAAACGTGAGTAGACTATTTTTAAAATCTAAATGTATTATTTACTTTTGGTTTTTATTTTGCGACATCGTGGTTAGTTTAAGACATAGGTTATTTATTTATTATTCCTCATATCTGGGTTAGGTTAGGTTAGAACATTTAAGATTATTTATTTATTTATTATTCCTCATATCTGGGTTAGGTTAGGTTAGAACATTTAAGATTATTTATTTATTATTCCTCATATCTTGGTTAGGTTAGGTTAGAACAGTTGCCACAACGCACGAGCCGAGCGAGCGAAGCGAGCGTGCCGCGGTAGCGGCCGGCGAGTGCCATAAATGACTAGAAAACTAGAAAATTCGAATTTCACGCAAAGTACAAATAAAGACAATCATCTGGAGATCATTTTGACAATTGAAAGTGACGTTTTGACTCCAAGTGTCTAAATGGTAGTAATGTCAAAATAATGTATGGAAATGTTGTAACTTTAAGTCTCAATAACTTTTTACTCATACGTTCGCGGACAATTTTTATTTAACATTTCGACTCCCTATCACGTCCCTTATCTAGAAATACCACCCACTCCGCTAGGGGCCAAGTCCCCAATTCTAAACGGCCGCCTATATTTTATTTATTATTCTTTTATAATTATTTTTAGGCATAAATATTAATAATAATAAGTGTAAATAAATATTAATAATATAATTATTAAATATGGGGTAGTTTAATAACACCTTAATCAAAGATATTGAATAATAAAATCTTAATTAAATTATGAAGATATTACTTAGAAAAACAGCATTGGTTATACATTAAAATATTTATAATAAAAATAATACTTAAATAAAAAAAATCATTCAAACTTGCTTTATTACAATAATCTTATGAACTCCTAAAGTCGTTTTAATGTTATATTGTTACCTAAACTGCTTTCACATTGCTCAGTTGTGAAAAGTTTGTTTTGTGTATTTATCATATTTTTAATTTGTACATGTCAATTTCATAGTAGGTATTGTAATAACAACACGAGCATTGGCTATAGACTGACTTTATTTAAAAAAACTTATATTTACCCACCAAGAACAATATACAATATAAACCTATTATTTCATACTACCTTACATCTTTCCCCCTCTAATTACCTAGATTTTATAGAAAAACTAAAGATACTTATAGAAATCATAAATAACAATATAAACTAAAGATATTTGTAAAAATAAACACAATTTAAGCGTTGCTTTGCTGCTAATAATAACTACATTAAACTCCTCTATTAGTTTATTTAGGTTTTTTTGTCCTTCTGTATTATAGCTCTTTTATAAGCACGTATAGCTCTGGCAGAAGCGTCCGGTGGGGGTGGAGGCGTCGCGGGCTCGCCCGCCGGTCCTGGAAGACCCGGGGAGCGTAGTGCCCGCCCCGCGTTAGCACCCGTCTCGGGCGCTTCACTACATTGATCATCTGCATCGTCATCAACCCCAGGCGTCTGTTCCACATTCGCGTCCGCACTAGCTGTCGTTGATGTTCGCGCCAATGAATATCGATTTTTTTCTTTTCTATTACCTAACTGTATCATTTGGTCTTGGTGACGTCTCCACTCTACTCCTCCCCCTACATCAACCTTGAATGACACGGGCCCGGTTTTCTTGGTGACCGTCCCCTCTGACCATTTTTCCCCTTTAGTGGTATAATCCCTAGTCAATACTGTATCACCGAGCTGCAGCTCGCGATTAGTACCTCCTGCCCTGTCGACCTGTTTGCTTTGTGCTTCCAGCACCACTGCCCCCACGTCTGGTCGTAACGCGTCGAGTCGACCCCGCAGCCGTCTCCCAAGTAACGCGACCGCTGGCGACACTGCCGTAGTAGTGTGTTCACAATTACGATATTGAAATAAAAACTTACTTAATGCTTGCGATATATTCTCCCCTAAATGTACCGCTCTTTTAATTACTTTTTTAATTGTTTTAACCGCGTTTTCAGCAGCGCCATTCGCCTGCGGTCTATACGGTGCAGATGTCGAATGCTTAATACAATTTTTATAACAATATTCTTTGAACATTTGGGATGAGAATGGAGGGCCATTATCGGTAACGAGCTGTGAAGGAAGTCCGAATCTGGCAAAAATCGATCTAAACGCCTCAATAGTGGAAACAGCGTCCGTACGATTCATTTGTATGACCTCAATCCACTTAGAATACGCGTCTATAATAATTAAAAATCGCTTGCCGTCACAATCTGCAAAGTCAGCATGTAGCCGCGTCCACGGAGACGCCGGAAACTCCCAGGGGTGTAGCGGGGCGCGCGGAGGGGCGTCGCGAACAGAGTTGCATGCGTCACACGCGCGACTGACATCTTCAATGTCTTTATCTATGCCCGGCCAATACACGTAACTGCGTGATAAGTTTTTCATTTTATTGCTACCTAGATGACCTACGTGTAACTCATCAAGTACTTGTTTACGTAAGACCGTGGGAATAATTATTCTATATTTATAAATTAAGCAACCTAACTCTAATATTATGTCCTGTCTACGGTTATAATACGGTTTTTCTTCATCACAGCTCGCTCTCGCTGGCCAACCAAACATTACATAACCACATATTTTGCTTAAAATGTTATCTTTTTTTGTTTTTTTACTAATGTCTTTAAAGTTAACCGGCGTACATTCCTCGAGCAGCTTAACATAACTCACTGGGTCACTTGGGTCACACTCGCGTAGCAGTGGTAAGCGAGACAGCGCGTCAGCTGGGCCGTTTTGACTTGATCGCACAAACTCCACCGAAAAATCGTACGCTGCGAGATGTGCCGCCCACCGCTGCAGGCGGCTTGCTGCTGTTTGTGGAATCCCCCCTTTAGCTCCAAAAATATGAGTTAATGGTTGGTGGTCTGTGCGCAGTACAAAACGCCTGCCAAATAAAAATTGATGGTGTTTCGTTATACCAAAATATATAGCCAAAGCTTCCTTATCTAGCTGACTATAATTTTTTTCAGCTACATTTAACGTCCGCGAGACACAGCTGACGGGCCGCTCGCTGCCGTCGTCGTACCGGTGCGCCAACACTGCGCCCAGACCGTACGCGCTGCTATCCACCGCTAACACGAGTTCGCGTCCTTCCTCGTAGTGCGCTAGTACTCGATCGCTTAACAATATGCGCTTCGCTTCACAAAAAGCCTCTTCGCACTCTTCCGTCCATAACCAAGTGACCCCTTTTTTTAATAAATTGTGTAAAGAATGTAACACAATACTCAAATTTGGAATAAATTTTCCGTAATAATTAATTAACCCGAGAAAACTTTTTAATTGCGTTACATTATCTGGTCGTGGTGCATTTGTTATTGCTTGTAATTTTTTTTTATCCGGATGTAAACCTAATTTATCAATAACAAACCCAAGATATTTAACATATTTTTGTAAGAATAAACATTTATCTAATTTAATTGTAAACCCCATGTCACGTAACCGTCCAAGTACAGCTCGTAAATTTTTTAAGTGGAGAGTCCTGGACCCTCCCGTGCAACATATGTCATCCAAATAGACCACGCACCCTGGAATGCCTCGCAATGTCTCTTCCATTAATTTTTGGAATTTTTCTGGGATACAAGACAGTCCAAAGGGCGTGCGACGGTATACAAAGGTCCCTACGTGTGTTGTAATTGCCGTATAGGGTTGGGACTCTTCACTTAAAATCACTTGTTGGTAAGCCTGCCTCAAGTCTATTTTTGAGTACTCCTCCCCCCCGCTCAGGACCGCGAACAACTCCTCAATACGAGGCAACGGGTAGTAATCACGTTTTAACTTAGGATTTATAGTTATTTTATAGTCCCCACAGATCCGTATGTCACCGTTCTCTTTGATCACAGGAACTATAGGAGTCCCATACTCAGAATGATCCACCCGGTATATGGTACCCTCCGCCTCCAACCGCTCTAGCTCACGCTCAACACGCGCCTTCAGCGCGAGCGGCACGGGCCTCGCGCGTACATATACCGGCTCCCTATCGGTCAGCTGTAATTGGATGGTTTTTTTACAAGTACCTAGCTGTTCACTAAACACTTCGGGAAACTCCTCTCTAAGGCAGCTCACGAACTGATCGTCCGTTATTTCATTAAAACTAATTTGTTTAATTTTTAGAGCGCGTATCCACTCCCGACCTAGTAACGGCCTGCCGCCGTTCTTTATAATATATAAAGATAAGTTATTGGCCCTCTCGTTACCGAGAGACACGTCAACCGATATATATCCGAGCGATTCAATTCGTGAGCCGGAATAACATTTTAATAATAAGTTATCCGAAACAATATGTTTTGTGTGTGAAATTTTGTTGATAAAACTGTTCACTCACAGCGGAGATACGACTACCTGTGTCTATTTCACATTCGATCGGTCGTCCGTCCATCTTCACAATAACTAAATATGGTTTATTACCTTTAGCCGCCAACTGAATGTTGAAAAACTCGTCCTCCGATTTGTCGGTCTCACTCACATATTTATGTCGCCCGTACGATCGATTACGCACCTCTTTACACATAACCTTTAAATGGCCCCGCTGATTACACTCGTCACAATTATACTGCGCAAACCGGCACCTATCCGCGCGATGTCCGCGCCCGCACCGCCAACACCGCAGCTGCGCGTCGACGCCGCGCGGCGCAGCCCTCGGCGCTTGCGCCGGCGCGCCGCCGCCGCCGCCGCCGGGCCGCGCGCGCCGCGCGCTCGCTGCATGCAGGCCCTCGCCCGCCGCGTCGCTGCCCGCACCCGAGGTCCCTGTCGACGTTCTCGACCCGCTCACCTCCGCGTGCCTCTCAGCAGCCTCTACAGCCATAGCCAACTCGACTGCTTCTCGGTATTTAATATTTCGCTCGGCAAAAATACGCGACCTCATCGCGTCACTAGCCAGGCCGGAAACAAATTGGTCACGTAAATTTTCCTCCAATGTAGTTCCAAAATTACAAGTGGTCGCTAAGTGTTTTAAGCACTGTAGGTATTCTGACAACGGTTCGCCGGTGCGCTGTCGCCGGAGACGAAATACGTGGCGCCCGGCGATCTCGGATCGCTGTGGCTCCAGATGTTCACTCACCAGTTTAACTAATTCGTCGAATGACTTTGTTTCCGGGTGACTCGGAGAACACAAATCACACATAAGCGAATAAGTCGCCTTCCCGACTACCGTTATTAACAGTGATACTTTTAACTCCTCTTTCACTTCGTTTAATAACATGTATTGTTTAACGCGTCGTATATACGCTGGCCACTCTTTTGAATCTAATTCGAATTGTTCTAATTTTCCGATAGGCATGATTTATTATTTAACACTGAGCACAACCGAAACACTTAAAAGACTTTTTTTTAACCCGCCTCGTCGCCAGTGTAATAACAACACGAGCATTGGCTATAGACTGACTTTATTTAAAAAAACTTATATTTACCCACCAAGAACAATATACAATATAAACCTATTATTTCATACTACCTTACAGGTATGTGGAAACAAGTAGTGTTCTTAAATCTGAACTGTTGAACTGATTCAAATCTGTTGACTCATTGCAGTTTGAAGAAATAAATACACATTAACTCAGAAGTCACAAATTTTTACTGTGTCTGTTCAATTAAAACACTAAAAATACTACCTACTACTCCACTTAAAAAAATCAGAGTCATTATTAGATACTAACGGCTCACTCTCGCTTCGCTCCGGTTCGTCGCTAGGTACGTTTTAAATAGATATAAATAGTTATTAGCCAGCGTTAGCCATACAAATTTTTTTTTCGTAAATTTTTCTGATGTTTTAATATTTATTATCCTATTCCGGACTAACTAAGAAATCCAAATATTCAAATATCTAGCCGTTCTTGAGTTTTATGTCACGTCACAACGGACACGCAATCGAACGGGATAAAAAGTATCCTATATCCGTCTCTTGGTTCTAAACTACCTCCCCACTCATTTTCAGCCAAATCGGTCCAGCAGTTCTTGAGTTATAAATAGTGTAACTAACACGACTTTCTTTTATATATATAGATTACTGTTTAAAATAAATATGTGACTTAAGAATTATTATGAAAAATATTATTATTAATCTATTTTTATTCAATTAAAAAAGGAAGACAAAATGTGGACAAAAGATAATTTACCTCTTTATGAAATATCTTCTATTGGCTGTCCAATCTTATGAAAAATGTAAGAAAACTAATTAATATTGTACAGTAAATAATATCCTTTACTTCTTTTTCCTAGACTTCCTACTAATGTTATAAATATGAAAGTTTGTGAGGATGTATGGATGTCTGGAGTTATAGATGTGTGGATGTTCGTTACTCTTTCATGCAAAAACTACTGAATGGATTTAAATGAAACTTTACAATAATATAGCTCATACATAAGAATAACACATAGGCTACTTTTTATCCTGGAAAAATTTACAGTTCCCGTAGGATAGATTTGTTCTTCCGACGCTAGTATATTATATATAGGAACAATACAATGCAAATTTAAATATATCCGTATGTATGTATGTATTCAACCCTTTTTAACATCCCACTGCTGGGCACGGGCCTCCCTTCAATATGAGGGGCATCAGTCATAGTCCACCACGCTGGCCAAGTGCGGGTTGGCGAACTTCACATGTCTTTGGAGGGATTAAGTACTTTATAATTTAAAATATTATGTCCACATAAAATTAGAAAAAAATACACATATGAGCACGAAGTAATAATCGTTTAGTTATATTTTATTGGTACATATTATGTAATACGATAATGTATTATTTTGTGATGGTCAGACTCGCACTTGATCGATTTACTGCATAAATGCAATTGGACGTCAACTGATGGATCAGATCGATACTCAAGGATTATATTAATAACCATCCTATTTATACCGATGAGGTATTCTAATTACAGTTTATTATTATTTACTATATCTTTACATAGTATAAAATGAAGTCGCTTCCGCTGTCTGTTTGCTTAGATCTTTTAAACTACTCAACGGATTTTAATGCAGTTTTCAGCAATAGATAGAGTGATTCAAGAGGAAGGTTTATGTGTATAAAACATGCATATTATACTACAGAAAAGCTGAGAAATTCAAAAAATTTGTATTTCATACTAACCGTTAAAACGTACCTAGGGACGAACCCAAGCGAAGCGAGGGTGAGTCGCTAGTAATCATATATTTTTTTCATTAAAGTCCATGTTTATCCTTTAATTTTTATGTTTCACAAAATTCTTAAAAATATTTAACTACACTTTAACGAAGCACATTTAATCGATAGTTTAAAAAAATCAGTTCAAATACTTATAAATCGACTGCCCAAGTCGTGTCGAAGTCCCTCGAGGCGCTATCACCGCTTGATTATACATTCACTAAAACTGACCGCGGAACTCAGCAATTACTTTTTTCATGGAAAGCGCTATTTAAGACATTTGTTTGACATTGTTTACTTGTGTTAGGAATTGCCGGTTCGAAATAGCACTATACAAATTTTAAACCCGCACAATTATTCAACTCATTGAATTCATAAAGACTCTCTCATATAACAATACACACGTTATTCAAACTCGTTAATGTTGTTGGGATCTCAGTAAATTGATATGCTAACGATATTTTATGATGACATTAACACGACTAAACATTATGGACTGAGCGAAAATTAAGCATTTGTCGCCCTTGGCCTTTCTACAATATCTTATAGCTTTGCATTATTAAGAGGTCTTAACTCTTAGAGAAGATGTGTATAACCATAGAAAAATAGAAATTAAAAAATTGTATTGCAATGGCAAAAATCGATTTTCTATTCTTCAATGATTAGAAAATGACATCTTCTCTAACAATTATTCCCAATGTTTACCAAAATGGTTCCTTAATTATTGGCTGATATCAAGTAGGTAACAAACAAAGAAACAAATAACTTTGATATTTATATAAAAACTAATGTTTTCTTCGTAGGGAAATGATGATTGTATTCGTGTACGACACGCAGTGCTGCGTGTCGGAGGAGGACGACCCCGCTGACGCAGTATTGTACTTCCACCCTGGATGGGTGTCCGACACACAGAGAATGGCTCTTGCTGGACAGGTAATATAAAATAAATAATAGCTTATTGTCAGACTAAGAAATAATATAGACTACATCATAGAGCTAAACATGAAGCCAAACAATGTTTTTAAATAATGTATATGTTTTATAACAGAATACATATCGAATATTCATTAGTTATTACTGTGATAAGTAAATAAATGTTAATAAACAAGAATAGCTAACGGATTTTATTTATTAACTAGCGACTCACCCTCTTAAGGGATGATTTTCGGAATAAAAACTATCCTATGTCCTTCCCAGGGTCTCAAACTATTTTCTTACCAAATTTCATCTAAATCGGTTCAGTAGATCCACGAGATTACCCCCTACAACGTCACAAACTCGCAAACTCAAACTTTATCTCTTTATAGTATTAGTATAGATAAAGAAAAAAAAATAAGCGAATATTATTCTCTCTCTCTCTTCCTCTCTCTCTCTCTCTCTTCCTCTCTCTCTCTTCCTCTCTCTCCCCCCCTTCTCTCAAGGGATAGGGAACTGAACTAATGCTTAAATTAAAACTTTCAAAAAAATAAAAACCGACTACAAAAAGAGCACTAAAAAGTTTTTTAGTTTTCATTTACTATACATACATACCTCAAAATTCTTTCAGAAGCTATACACAAAGTTTATTTTAATAATTATTATAACTCACTGCAAGGTAAACGTGAAAATATAATAACAATTTTATTGAAGCTCGAACTTTAGGCTTACAGGCTTTAGGTAACAGGTAAAAAATCATATTTGTAAATTCACGGCCTTTAAAATATTTTAATTTATGTCGCCTTATGAAATAAGTCTCATAGAACGGCTGGACCGATTTTTATGATCTTTATTTATTTATCGTATTTACTGAATTTGGGTTCAAACCTCAAATTATTCATCAATCTGATCAATGATAGTTTAGGAATCCATACATTATAAACATATATGTATCAAAAAGAATCAGATGTACGTTTTTTTGTATAATGGGAGTCGAACCAGTGATCCTTGAGTAAAATAGCTATATTATACAAAAAGAAGAAAAGAAAATCGCTTCTGAACTGTTTTATCTTTGCCTGTTTATATATAGATGAGTAATACACCTATACTTTCTTAGATTTACGGAAATATAATCTATACAAATAATAAATATATATATAATAAAATTCTAACAAAAATAACACACGATTTTCATTAGTTCACTATATTTTAAAACTTAGTTATATATCAATTGAAGTGGTTAAAAAAATAAAAAATAATTAGTAGTATTTCATAGATTTGCTCAAAAAATAAATCTATATTCTTCCACTTTATTTCTTTTTATTCTTCATTTTTAAAGGGTTTTATCATAGACACCATGCCACCCTTATAGAAAATACATTTTTTTATCTATATTTTACTTTTTTTAATAATAATTGCACAATTTTATACGACATCCTTGCTTGACCCGATAGGGGTGTTACAAACACCAACATCCATTTTATTTAGCTTACATATTTCAAAGAAACATATTCAGCCTGCCTCATTCTGGACACATTCCATTAAAATATGATGAGTATCCTCCACAATCCCACACTCAGCGCAATCTGTCGAATTTGACTTACCCATTAAAACCGCAAAATAGTTCAATGGAAAGTGACCGGAATGAAGCCTCAAACTTGTTTCAGTATCATAATATCTACTCATATCGGCCTGGCTGATTCATAAGAAAAATCGTATAGTAGGTTGAATAGTTTTATACCAAATACTTTTATGTAACGATTTTTCAATATATTTTCCACATTTCTAAGCATTGTATTTTTATTAAAAACAAAACATCTGACCAATATGGAAAATACGTACACGGAATACATTCTGTTATGGCTGCTCTTGCAAATTTATCTACTATTTCATTATTTTCCAGGCCGATATGTGGGGGTACCCTCTGTAGTACAATTTGTTTATTTTTACAATGGAGGTTACTTATTAACTTAATAATTTCATAAGCTATAGGCATTCCTCTATATGTTAGAGTACACCGATTCAAATGTAAAAGATCACTTTTAGAATCAGTAATACATACTTCTCGGAATCAATACAGGACAGAGCTTCAGCAGTAGCTATCGCTCGTGTGACAAATAAAACTATGGGACACATGGAACATGTTTGCTGGAAAGTATTTGAAACGTCGGGAACAAAAAATCTAAATAAATAGGCGACAAAATGCGAAAAGACAGTTACATTTATATGAGTTATATTTATCTTTATACGGCGTCTATTCGTTAATTGTGTTTAATCGTATTATAGCATTAACGCGATAATAAGATTATCTTATTATAATCGGACTACTAATATATGTGAAGGTGTGTATGTGTGTATGTTTGTTACTTCTTCACGTTAAAATGGCTGATCCGATTTGTATATTTAGTAGGTAAAAAGGTAGACTATAACGTTTAGTGGTTCTTAATTTAATCAATTTACATATGCTATTGTTAGGTAGGTATCTAGGACGTTATGATGAGCAAAGCGAGGGTGAGTTGCTAGTTTATTATATTCTTTAAATTAAAACATAAATTTGTGTTAAAGGTATAAATAATTATAATTTTAAACTAAAAATGATCATAAAATTTTAAATACATATTTTGTTTAGAACGGCGCATATTTTAAGAAACCTGTTGCGTATCAGATACTGATTGCGAAATCAAAATGTTCTACCGAATGCCATTAGGATTTTATTACAAAATCGACTATCGTTCAAATCTATTGAAGTTAAAACAAGAGGATTATACTTAACAAAAACCACCCACTAACCACCTACTAAGCAAAAACCGAGTCAGGGGGATGTAAGAAGACAAATAGAACAAATCCAGATTTTTTTTAATTTATTGTTTCTCTGTCTGTTTGTCTGTTTGTACGGGCTAATCTCCGAATCTATTCGACCGATTTAAATGCAATTTTGCATGATGGTACCTTATATCCCCGGACAACATCTTAGACACTTTTCATCCCGGAAAATTAAAGAGTTCCCGTGGGATAGTTAAAAAACTATTTGTTTAGCTTAACTATTTGTGTTAGATATTTAAATTTTACGCAAATTGTCATTCAAGAATTACACTGGCACGCGTGAAGCGCTTAATAGAGTAATCATACGCCAAAATGCCTTACATTATTTTGGGAAAAAGCTGATACTCTAACACTGCTGGACAAAATAAAATAATGGTACTACAAACGAAATTAACGTTACTACAAACCACTACAAACGAAATAATAGTACTACAAAAGAAATTAACTTTACTAGAAACAAAATTAACGTTACTACAAACGAAGTAATGGTACTACAAACCAAAATCAACGTTACTACAAATAAAATAATGGTACTACAAACATCAGGTATATAATAAAAATCGTTCTGCAAAAATACTCGAAAAAAATTTTTTTTTTCTTTTACTACAAACGAAAAAAATTGCACTACAAACCACTACTAACATTTTTCTATACGAATCAAGCGGAATTTTTTTTTTTTACCAACTTCGGGTGATGACATTTTTTTTGTTGTCTGTATTTTTATTTGGTTTTACTACAAACGAAGTTAGCTTCACTACTATCTACTACTAACCGAAATCGTTCAAATAAACCTAAAAAAGAACAATTTTTCCAAAGTCGGGTGCCAAGTTCACATAGCCATGGCGGTATTACCACCTTTGTATATCTTTATTTAAAGATAACAATATAGCTAATTGGGACGACGCTATTTAATATGTGGTAATTTATACTAAAAATAAACTTTGTGATACGTAATAAACAAGGGACTGTTTATGCGATTTTGAAATCTTTGACAACAGGTTTAGTGCAGTTTGTAGTGACCCTACTTGCTATGCCAAAGGTCGCGGGTTTGAATCCCGCTGGGGGCATTCGTTTGTGTCATGAGCTCGAATGTTTGTACTCCAGTCAGGTGTTTTTATTTATAATATGTATGTATTTAAAGTTACGAGTATATATGTGTAGTGTATCGACTATCTGGTATCCATAACACAAGCCTCGTAGCTTACCATGGAACCTACCGGTACCGGTACCTAACCTAACCTAACCGGTATAACCAGATATTGCCATAAGATAACAGACTATTTCTAAAATTTGCAGAATAACTAACATACGCTGGTGTAGTTGGGGCCGAAGCGCAGCGAGGGTGTGTCGCTAGGTGTAAATAATTTTATCGCGCCATCAAAGGAAATCGCCCATTTCGTATTTGATCGCGCACTCAAAGACAGATTTCGATTACTTACTTAGCTCCCTGTACTATATACTCCTATATAAAGCGATAGGAGCCGTCGTTGTTGCAAATATCTATAGGTACCTACTAATATATATAACTTAAGAGTTAGTTTGTTTGAACGCGCTAATCTCCAGATTTACTGGTCCGATTTAATAATTTATAAAAAATGAGTTTTATATTATAACATATTTATTACGCAAGGTACCTAGTACCTAGTTATAGGCTACCCTTACATCATACCACTAACGGCGACAAGCGTACGAGGCTCCTGGTAGAAGCTTAATTATGGTCTTATTGTTTCTGTCTGTCTATTTATTGACATTTCACGCTTAACAGCTGAATATATATATATATATATATATATATATATATATATATATATATATATATATATATATATATAAGTTATGCAATAAAATTTACGCATATTAAATGTACACAGAATAATAGACTTTTGAGTTAAGTAGACATTCCATGTTTTCTGACATATATTTATTTTTTATTTCAATACAAGCGCTCATTGTGTTACAAGTGGAATCAAAAAACATCCAGTCCATGGGCATAAGTACTGTAGAGCCCGTCTCGAGTTTCGTCAGTAAAAATTGTATTGATCGCTATTGTCTTTGGAATAAGCCATTTATATTTCTAATTAGCGACCCGCCCTTGCTTTGTTCATATTCATACTTGATACTTGTGAATTGTACTTGTATTACCCCACAACGAGACTATACAGAACGTACAACAATTACAATCCGTAGTTAAATCGCAATTGGATGAATTGTACAGAAACGCATATGTTACAAACAAACACATGGTCAAACACATTATTTTTATCTATATAAGTATGTATATAGATCCAAATATCAATATATAGGTACAAAAATATAAATATGTAGATATATTGGCCTACTTTCTAAAAGCAATCTCTAAAGTACCTCTTAATTTGTTGAGCGTATTACCCGGCTAGCGCTGCCAATTTAAATCTTGAAATGAAATGCATTCGCTGAAAATATGAATTTGAAAAATATTGTGATTTTTTACGAGAATTTTAAATATGCTACCGTTATCCTTTTAAATCGAAAACACAGATTTCAGAAAAAAAACTTTAAACTTTTAAGTAATATTCTAGTACTGAGCTAGCTGTTAACAAAGCTCGGCCTAATTTTTGAACTGCTGCTTAAATAAGACACTTCTTAATTACATGAATGGTAAATAATAATAATAATTTATTCATATAGTTTTTACAAAGTTACATAATATAAATGATTAACAGATAGATTAGCTCCGATATTTAATTTGGAACTTACCTGAACTAGGTTAAAAACCTGTGTCTCAGGTTACGGTTTTACAATGCATTTCTTACTGGGACAGAGATGAAACTTAGACTTATATATAAGAAGACAAGTATGAAACTTACATTATTAATTAGACGTAAACATATAATAATTAAGTAAACCTAGAACCGAATCTAGACCGAATGGTTTAGATTTTAGGGCTGTGTGTAGTTTAAAATCTGTAAATAAATTTAAGATTGAAAAAAGATTGTATCGATATGCAATGTAGGCATACAATGCCAGGGGGCATCCATTATCCTCAAGCTCGCAAATATTTTATTTATTAGTATTAAAAACCTATTCATTAAAGGTACATATGTATATACATTCATATATCTATGCAACAAACACTTAAATGTTCAATTGCAAAGCCGGTAAGTAAAATAATTTCATCGCTCGAATGCAGATTTAACATATTATGTTGACGGGGTCTGCTTCAATAGCAAGCACGCTTTACGTTGTATTCAAATACGAAGCTTAAAGCCGACCGCGAGAAAGACCCGTATGTGATTAAAAATTCTCCTTTGAAACTACAAGTGCAAAGTCATTAGAGTGTTTTTGAAATGAAGCGGGGTTAAAAAATAACCCTCTATATATATTATAGGGTAGAGACTACGGACTAGACTCATTTTCTGCACGTTGTTACGACTGCCCCAGAATCAGAGATTTTTTTCGGTAATCTTCATGGATTTACATTTATCAATATTATCGATGTATTACTTTAATTGTGACAATGGAGTTTTTGTTTTTAATTTTTCTGTATATTTTATTATATTATACTTACACATACTAGGTGTAGAATGTAGATCTTTTACGTATTAAAAAAACAAAACTGTACGTATCTCATCGCATCGCATCTACCTGTAACTTCCGCTTATTTAAAGTATAAGTCTTACCAAAATATATAATAATAAGTCTTGCCAAAATATATTTTACTCAATTCATCATCTATTTTAGCGTTCTTTATAAAGATCATCCGAAAAGAAAATATTAACCATTCAATTTTGCTTTCTTGAAGCTTATGTCCCTGTTCGACTCATAAACTATATTTAAAAAAAGTCAACGTAAATACAGTAGTAATATTAGTAGATAAGTATAACCTCTACTGTTCTTTTCAAAATATAATTTAACGTTACGTTAGTTACGTTTTAACGTTTAGTATAGATTTCTCAGAGATGAGTTTTTTCCGCAGTAAAAAGTATCCTATATGTTGATCGGATAACCAGCAATTAGACAGACAGACAAAAATGCGAAAAACTATAGATTCGGCCTCAGTTAGAATTTTGGTATATGTATAGATTATATTAAATCAAATTTAAATATTTGAGCACATGAATGGCGCCGTACAATGAAAATGACCTTTGTAACAACCACGAATAATTTTATACTGTGTGCTTAAAGGAATAGCTTAAATGTTTCCGTTTTAAATATATTTTGTTGTTTGTTTCACAATTTTCGCAGCTTATGTGAAATTAAAACTGTGTGTTCATTTTAATTTCCACATTTTTGTGAGCCAAACAAAGCAGTATTGTTTAACCGGTTATTAAGTACATGTTACACAGTATCTATACATATATCTGTAAAATAATATTGACTAAAGCATAGACTAGGTATTCCACTAAAATACTTTAAACTCCAAACTAGATCAAATGTAATAACCTTGAAATCTTCATCAACAAACTTGAAACTGCGCAGCTTCCTTATAATTTTATTACTTTTAATAATTATAATAGAATGTTTTTAAATGTGTGTATCTTTGTTACTTTTTCATGCTAAAACGGCTGGACAACTTTGAATAAAATATTATGAAACTCAAATAGGCTAGTGTTAGCTTATCAAGAACAAACCCGATCGAAACAAGGGAACGTCGCTAGTTTAGATGTACCTTGTAAGAATAAAATATGATTTAGAACATTTTATTGCAATCGGATAAATACAACATACATCTAAATTTTAGTACTTAAACAAACGCGCTTCGCTCAACACTTTTTTTTTTGTTGTAAAATCGTGATTTTTCGGAAAAGATATACCTAGACGTAACTTAAAAAGCAAAACCTTTATTTAAATACAAAATTTAATCCAAATCGTTAGAGCCGTTTCCAAAATACACGAAATAAATTAATATATTATATAGAATAATTGTATGTATAAATATATCGATAATATGAATGACTGACTGTATCGATAATAATGTCTATTTCAATAAGATTTTCCAAAATATATTTAATGTACAGATTCGACTCAAATAGAATTTTATTATAATATGTATAGATATACAATAATTGCTCATTTAATATTATAAGATTTATTACGTAGATACATGAAGAAATATAGCCATTTTATACATGATATTCACAACACGGTAGCGGCGTAGGTAGGTAAGATGTTTGGTTCTTGCACAAATATGCACATTAATGTTATCAGATTTAACTCTGTAAACATTGCGTGACAAGCGCCCACCCTTGACTTAACCTGCGCGGTCGTTATCTTCAATTTCATATTATGTTAACAAATTATTAAGTAATTATTATTTATCCATATCCATTTTTACTCCTTCCTTCCCCATCATTTCACATTCCTTACCCATCGTTTTTTTTATTTTAAGAGTTTAAATTATGTATATTATTTAATTAAATTATGTATTTTATTATATGTATAGATATAGATTATGAAATGTATATATTCAGGTCGTCGGTGCAGCGCATTGCATCAAATCTCTCTTCTCACAACCGCTGGCAATCACGCTTCAAAGTGGAAAATTTATTATAAGAGAATATGGCAGATATATTTTGGTAAGTGCTTAAGATTATATTTTATTATATTATTACATATCTTGTCCCACGTTTGATTAAACTTTCGTCTATTCAATATCCATTTAATTTAATTGATGAAAAATTATTTAATAACTAAAAATGAAACTATAAAACATGAATAAGCGACACTAGCGGAGTCTCTGGCAAAAGGTAGTGAAAGCTTACAAAATTTAAGTTTTACAGTGTAGCAGTGTTTACTCTTTTGTAACTCTTGTTTACATTTTTAAGCTATCTTTTCAAAAAATATCTACTTAAGAGTGAGCAATATGGCAATTTCGTACCTAGACTTCGTTATTTATCTCAGAATCTGTGAAAGTTACCACTTTCATATTTAGGGAATAGATGCTTCGGACTTTTATCGTGAATTGCTAAATTTGAAAACACGATTGGTAGCCCAGTCGAATTAGGATTTGACGTTTGACGTCACTGGAAGTCTAAATTTGGATTTTCGGGATTAAAGACCCGTTGCGTCGTCCGCCATCTTGAATGGGAAATTTAAGGGTTCATTTTGTTTATTGATTAACTCGTTTATTTTTAATTTTAACCGATTTCCAAAATGAAGGAGGTTCTCAATTCGTCGGAATCTTTTTTTTATGTATGTTGACCGATTACTCGAAGACGCCTTAACCGATTTGGAAGTATTTTTTTTTGTTTCAAAGGGTATACTTTCCAGGTGGTCCCATATAAATTTTATCGTAATCGGTCGAGCGATTTTTTTAAAAAAATCAACAATAAATTATTTTTTTAAATAAATTGTTTAATCGAATATGTTATTAATTAAAAAACTTTCTTCTTACAAATTACCTGCTTGTTACGTCTACACTAAAAATGGAAAAGTAAAAACTAAAAAAAAAATTAAAACCGACTCCCAGGCATTAAAATGTAAAAAATAACTAAACGGGGGTTTTCATATAGAATAGATACCTAAACAGATGTTTTCGAAGTCGGTGCCAGCCGATAGTTTAAGATATGAATATCTAATAGGTAAATATGTATTTTACATATCGAAATATAACAGATTTGCTTCGCACCGGCTGGAAGGAAAATTGTCGTTAAATTTTTTTGCAATGTTTGCCCCTTTTTTGAGCTAATTCAACTGGGTTTTGGTGATTTTCTCTATCTATACTAATATTATAAAGAGGTAAAGTTTGTGATCTTGTGAGTTTGTGAGTTTGTGACGTTGTAGGGGGTAATCTCTGGATCTACTGAACCGATTTTCAAAATTCTTTTACCAATAGAAAGCCACGTTCTTTCTGAGTGTCATAGGCTATATATTAACCCGAAAAATGAAAAGGCTTTTTGGTGGTCGTCGGATTTGCAAAGTAAGTCGGAGAAAAAACGGTCGAACGAAAACGTTTCTTACGAACGCTGCCTTAACGATGAGAGATATATGATTATGTTCTAGAGAAAAGTTGTAGAGCTTAATAATGCCTACAAAAAAGTCAGCGACAGCATATGTCTACCTTTTATATTTAAGTCACAAAAAGTAGTTTTTTATATTAAAAAGATAATTTAAATCGGTAGGTCATGTTTATTGGTCATATTATCAACAATTATGAATTCTTATCAAAATAAGTAAATTTATCGTCTAAAATGTTTAAAACAAAAGACTTTTCCCTTTTACTGCATATAATTTGGACAAATGGTTAAAGAGATAATACAACATATTCGTAGGTATGGACGAACCCGAGCGAGCTGTTAGTCTGTTTTTCTCTTTGTACGGGCTAATCTCCGAATCTATTGGACCTATTTAAATGAAACTTTGTATGGTGGTACCTTATATCCCCAGGCAACATCTTAGATACTTTTCATCCCGGAAAATTAAAGAGTTCCCGTGGGATAGTTAAAAAACTATAACAACTTATACAGCTTAGTTCACAAAAACTGCTGATTGGATTTTAATGAAACTTTACAATAATATAGTTCAAATATGACAAAAACAAATCAGCTACTTTTCATTCCGGAAAATTAAATAGTTTCCGTGGGATAGTCAAAAAACTATAGTAACTTATACAGCTTAGTACACAAAAACTACAGATTGGATTTTGATGAAACTTTACAATAGTATAGTTCACACATCAGAATAACAAATAGGTAACTTTTTATCCCGGAAAAATGTATTTTTCCCGTGGGATAGATGTTTTTATTTATCTATAACGTATTATGTACACAACATAGACCCCAAAACATCAGTTATTAAAAATAATGTCTGTTTGTCTCTTTGCCTGTATGTCTGTTTGTCTGTTATTGTGTGTGCGTTTCACGCGAAAAATAATGTACCAATTTTCCTTCACCGTTAAGATAAATGGTAATTGTGTTAGAAATGATTCGAACATGAGGTGCGAGACCCGGGATTTGAACCACTTGCTTCACTCGGTTTCCCAAGCGAGCGCGTTACCACTGGGATTCCACTGCCTAGATACCTTTTACTTCAAGAAAATCTTTCTTTCCCAAGGGAAAATACAATAACTGGTTTTATCGAGTCCTCTCTAGAAACCTTCCGCTGGCTAAGCCTTAAGACATACATACATCAAAACAATATACCTTAAATTGTAGGTCTTGAAAAGTCCTACAGAAAAGTTCTGAATAGTATATGTCTATCTCCTAAGTTACACTCGCAATATTTATTCTTATCTACACCTATAATAAAACTTAGTCAAATCGATGTGCGCGTTTCACGCAAAAAGTACTCAACTGATTTTAAATTAATTTTGTATAGTGATAAAACTCAGTACTCGGGTCAACATTTAGGATACCTTTTACGACAGGCTAATTATTCATTCCCACGGGAAAACATAATAAATGGTTCTATCGAACCGTCCTTAGAAATTTATGTGGCTAACGTTGGTTCAACCTTAAGAGATAGATCAAAACGTTGTGCAAGAAAATTGTAAGTCTTGAAAAGGTTTATAGAAAAGTTCTACATAGTATATGTCTATCTCCTAAGGTACACTCGCTATAACTATTTTCATTATTATATATTACTGTTTTATTATACGTTATTTATTCTATCTGAATATACATATATGAATAATAAAACTGTAGTGGTCGAATGTCTGTACATAGATGATAGAAAAAAATGCTAAAAACCGAGTCAGTTCTCTTCTTACATCCCGTAAGGAGAGAAATAGAACAAATCCAGATTGTTTTCAATTTTTTTGTTTTTCTGTCTGTTTGTCTAAACAGACAAACAGACAGAGAAACAAAAAAATTACGTACGTACGTACAAACGTACGGGCTAATCTCCGAAACTATTGAACCGATTCAAATGAAATTTGATACTTTTCATTCCGGAAAATTAAAGGGTTCCTGTGGGATAGTTAAAAACTATAGTAACATATACAGCTCAGTACACAACAACTTATGCACCTAATTTAGTAAAATTTAGCATGCTGATACCTTATATTACAGGTCTAACAACAGGTTACTTTTTATCCTGGAAAAATAAACGGTTCCCGTGGGATAGATCTGTTTGTGCTTTTCTAGAGGTGAACCCGAGCGAAGCGAGGGTGAGCCGCTAGTAATATATATTTTTTGAAAAATACAAATTACTATTTATCTCAGAAACAGCTCACAATTCTTGTAGGGTTTTTGTTTTGACAGGAAACCTAGAAGTGTTTCTTCAGTTACCGAATTTCAATTTTCGATTGGTTATTTAAATAATTTATAGTGAATAAAGAAACTGTTTGGCGCTTAAATAAGTTGAGCATCTATCGCTTTATACTTCTCATTCACGATAGAACATTATCTTGTCATCCTGCTCCTCCAAATCCGAATCGTAGCGGTGTCATGGCAGTCTTTAATCTACTAATATTATAAATGTGAAAGTGTGTTTGTTTGTACTTCTTTCACATCGAAACGGAGTGACGGATTGGCGTGATTTTTTGTGTAGAGATAGTTGGAGGGCTAAAGAGTGACATAAGCTATTTTTTATCGCGGGAAATTATCTAATTCCCACGGGAAAATATGTTAAAATACAATCCAAAAAAATATTTATGATCAGAATTACTTGAAACTCGGTATTAATGTTCTTCAATAAAATTAAATAAATACGTGTTTTAGCATTTTCTAAAATTCATCCCATAAGGGGGTAAAATAGAAGATAAAAGTTTGTTTGAAACTACATTTGTAGAAATTTTGTAGTTTTAGCGCGACCGCAGCCGCGGGTTCCGCTAGTACAAATATAAATTTTGTATACAATTTAGAAGTATATCCTTTATAATCTTTATACGTGCTTCTTAATCTTGTCTTCAATTCCTACGTCAAGAATTTATATACGTAATATTAATACCCCTACTCAAACAACGTCGATCGATTTTCGGTAGATTCTTCTTATAACGCGCTAAGACAGATTGCCCTTAGAAATGACATTTATTTTTCTATTATTGTCAATTTTAACTGTGAATTAATAATTATAATTGTGAATTTTCAAATAAACTGAAAAAAGTAGATTTGTCTAAAATCGTGGGATTTTAAATGAAGGTTTACATAAAAAACACTCTTGAAATGCAATGAAACTTTGTCAACTATATCCGAAATGTTTTTAAATCCATATTAGCCTTATTTATCTGCATAGATTACCTAGTTTTTTGACCTTTGATAAAACCTGCACTGCGTCTGTTAAATAAACATTTTAAAGTTAATTTGTATATAATATCTAATATGCACAGTGGTTTCTTAATGTTGGAATTACTGCCAGCCAGCCGATGCAAAGCAAAGCAAATCTATTACGATACGTATAACTTTTTTTAAGTTGGTTTATTTTTTTTTAATTACTTTTTTATATAAATTGCTTTTTTAAAGATATTTTGTTAAGAATATGTCTACTAATAAAATGTTTGTGTTGTTTAACGTAATGGCCGTTCGTTTTGTAATTCTGAAATAGTAAGTTCGAACCCTAACTTTCTCACAAATAACGTATAGTTATTTTTATTGCATTACTATTATAAGTATATAAAGAAATAAAAACAGTTTAGTTAGTTTCTAGTTTCTACCTCTTTCCTCTCGAAGAAATATCATTCACATATTTACTTTGTTGACGCATCGAAGCATGAAAAATCAAAAAATATTCTCATAGCAATTTAGTACATTAATAGTTTTTGCAACATTCCATTCCAGTTTTTTTTGGCTGACGGACTGGTGTCATCCTACTACTGTGAAGAGTAGTGGAAAAATGGCAACGAGCACATAATAATTAACAGTCTGTACTAAAATCATAGGTTACGAGCTTGATTTGTACTGACTATACAAGTACTCTCGTTTATAATTTGTTAAATTAATTTTAGATTTATTTCGCTGACTTTAATCCCATAGTAATGCTCAGATAATTTCTCGTAGGCAATAGGTAGCGATCGTAACATACCAGATTGGGTGTTAAAGAACCGAGCCAGTCTCCTCACGTCCATGATTAGGGTGTACCACGGCGACCTCCAGACCCTCGCATCCTCTATGGAAGACCAGAAACGCTTGGCTGAGAAGTTGTACCAAATATTCGAGACGTATTTACCAGTTCTACAATATGGCTGCCACATATTTCAACGCGTGCCAATGTTGAGTCTTCCAAAGGTAATGTAAATTATATTTATTTTTAATAAGTATATGAAAATAAAAATAAAATTGTTACAACTTCAGAATAATAAGTTCAATAAAATAGAAATGTCATTTGCAACTTACGTATGTTAACTATCCGAAGCTTTTCTATTCTATAGCTAATAAACATAGCATTATTTTAAGCTCTATTACTGTCAAATCTGTCTGTTTATTTTTTTCCGACTCATCCGTTGAAGTCAACTTAAAATATTTAAGATAAAACCATTTTTTACGGTTTTATTTTAATTTTTTCTGTTCTCGACATTTCGAATGCTTTACAGCAATCATGACTACGGGTAAGGTTCTGGGTACTCTGTCTGTAATAATTATGTCATCGTCACGTCAAAAACCTTGCCGACAATAAAACCGAATATTTAAGTAAATCTAGAAAATTATTACATATATCAATATACGGCTAGTATAGATTTGTCAGAGATAGGAAATTTTCCCGCAGTAAAAAGTATCCTATATGTTAACCCGGGTAACCAGTATTCATCATACCAAATGTCATCAAAATCTGTTCAGTGGTTTTCTCGTGATGTGTTCCCAGACAGACAGACGAAAATTCTAAAACTATAGATTCCTCTGTATCGATAATAATGACTATTTAAATAAGATTATCAAAAAAATATTTAATGTACAAATTCGACTCAGTATTTTATTATATGTATAAATAACTCAGACTAATCGATTTATGATATATTTACGTATAATTTTTAAAAGCTACTTTCTCTACGTTCTAAAAGCCGGTGAAACTTATTACGTTTCGTAGAATAGAAAACCATGGACAATTTCATTCGATATATTTATGCAACGGCTAGGTATATCCAATAAATAAAACTAAACAAGTGACGTTTTCTAATAATAGGATTTATGTATAGCATATTTTTCACACGATGAAATCCTACAAGACAAAACCTTCTAAATATGAGCAACAATGTATGTATCTATTTCAAGTAGCTACTTATGTACACTGTTGCGTTATCTTAGATGATAAATAGAAGACATTATATAACTATTTATATATACCTAAGACTATTTAAATTGCTAAATATATTGAATTTCTGTTCGTTTCGGATTGGTTTTAAGGATTTATTTATTATGAGTATGAATTATGTCGGTCGAGCGAGATTAGCGAAAAAAACACCATAACATATAAAATTACGTATAATTTTATCTATAAGTATTTATGATAAAATTTTAACTGAGTCGAATCTGTACATTAAATATTTTTTGGAAAATGCTATTGAAATACTCATATTATTATCGATAAAGAGGCCGAATCTATAGTTTTTAGAATTTTCGTCTATCTGTCTGTCGAACGCAGCACGAGAAAACCACTGGGGAGATTTTGATGGGGCATGTTGATAGCTGGTTATCCGGTTTAACATATAGGATACTTTTTATTGCGGGAAATTTCACATAGGGACGAACCCTAGCGAAGCGAGGCTAAGTCGTTAGTTATTTATAAAATAAATTTGAAGTCTTAGGCTAGGACAAAAAAACTTAAAGCAAAGGCTACATTATTTCATCTTTGATCACAATATTAAGGCCCAAGAAAAAAACCATATCACTTTCGCCTGTATAATATTGTTAAAATTAAATAGTATGTACACTAAGTATTTTCATATAGGATAGTATGTAGGTACGTCATTCGCCTACAAAACGACCAACAGCGTTATTGTTATATTGAGCTCTACGATCTCGTCCGCAGTGCATAACCGCTTTAAAGTACCGATACGGAACAACATTGATGAAGATGTCCTTCTAACTGAATTCGGCCACGGCGGCTAATCTAACTGAGACTAGACATCTGCACACGAGATATTATAGTCCAGTGATACAACTCGATATGAACAATGCTGGACCGACGCTTTTACGTGTAATGTACGTCCTCCAATTATTATACACAGCCTGATTCGGGACTCGAACGCAAGACCTCTGCATCTGTGCCCGAGCAGGCTGGCAGAAAAACACTACAAAAATTTTAAACATTTAACAAACTAATTAACAAAGAAAAGCAAAACAAACCTTTTATACTGCCATTACGTAAACATTTCAATAGATTGATTGCTCCCCACACCTGCTACATACTGCAGTAGAGTATAGTGCGGTAGGGATGGACTTTCAGTCAGAATCACATGACGCGTACGTAATACGATTAAAAACTAGTTAATTCACCGATCAAATCGCATACGTAGACACATATTACATCGGAATTTCAACATTTTGCTTTGTATGGGCTGGGCACCGATTTCAAAAATATTTGATTAGGTATATATGTATTGAATAGGTAGGCTTTAATTACTTAGCCAAAGCACACCGACTTCGAAAATATTTGATTAGGTATGTATAGTAAATGAAAACTACCAATCAGTTATTTTTTACTTTTTAGTGCTTTTGTTTGAAGTCGGTTTTATTTTTTTGTAAAAAAGTTTTTATTTTTCCCTTTTTAGTGTAGACAGTAGTAGCAAAGTAAGCATTCTAACGTGTTAAGCTTGTCAAATCGAACAAAATAAGCCCAAACTCAAAGTATCTACTATTAGCCGTTGAAGAGTTCCACCTATCCACCTTCTGGCCTTACCATCAGATCAGGTCAACAATACCGAACCACTGTACTATCAACGGAAATAGAAACACTTGAAAAGTTTCAAGTCAATATGACAATTAGAAGTAGGTTAAATTCATCATTAGCTATTTTTCCACCCTTAGGAGTGGTATTTTTTTTAAATTTAAATGGGACCAATCTGGAAGTATACACTTTCAAACAACACAAAAATTGTCCAAATCGGTTTATAAATGACGGAGTTCTGTTCTGAGGTAACAAACATAAAAAAAATACAGTCGAATTGAGAACCTCCTCCTTTTTGAAGTCGGTTGAAAATTAACAAATACTATTCTGAGGTACTTCGGTGCCACTTGTCCATTTCTTTCGAATTATTGTATAAATTTTGTTGGTAGATAGGTACTGTATGTAAAAACAATATATTGACTTTTGAGACATCTAAAACCTTAGTCTCTCCCGAGACAATGTTTGCTGTAAAACATTCGGAACGTTAGAAACAAATATATAAAATAAAACCGCGAATAAATCCGAAAAGATAATTTCATTTTAAAATGTCAAGTATTCGGATAAATCTCACAAAGTATTAAGTTTTTATAATAATTTAAATCTCTTTTCGACTGTTATATATAGGGCAGAGTTAATTCAATTGTTTCCACATTGTAATAAGAAATAATTGTATGAAATAACTCAACCTATAAGTTATTTTATTTTCAGCATTATCAATAATATTATTAGAAATCTACAAAAATATCACGAAGTCATCAATGTCAAAATATAATAAGTAAATGTACTTGCTTAATTTGATCTGCCACAATAATACGAGTACTGAAACCGCAAGAGAATTATTTTACCGGCGAGTATTATTGAACTGTACGTACATGATATGCCATAGGTGTATAAATAAAATTGACGATATCATTTGCAAACCTATTATTATTTGTAGAATCTAACCTTTCAGTTATGATACTCTGCAACTAATAAACTCTAGGCAAAATATCACTTCGATGCGCTACTTTGTTGTATTGGTGCATAAATGTAAATAAACCTACATAGACTATTGCCATATATATATAATGTGTTGGTCCGACCGCTAACAAACTTGACAGGATCACCCGCTGGCCTAATCTGAGGATTTTTGAAAATTTCATCAAAATTGCTCTAGCGCATCGATGGTTTCAAATTACTATATTGTCAACCGGATTTTGCATACGTGCACATTTTCATATCAACGCGGCAGTTAGAAGTAGGTTAAAATCGACTTCCAAGATTAGATTACGTACAACGTTAGAAATAAAACTAATAAATTCGTGTTAAACACTCACTTTTTAGTCTAGTAAAATGTAAAATTGTTTTTGGAGTTCTACTTCTTTTGGCACATTTGGAACAAAATTATGAGAGTAAAATTTTTACGATACGCACGCACACCGACAGCCAAAAAGCGACATGATGAAGTTAGCTCCATTCCTTTTACAAACACAGAGTACATACGGGATGAAATCTTTAGCTTTTTTTCTGTCACGCCAAAGAAGTATAACTTCTTACACACACACACACATACATTTTTTTTAATTCTTCACATTACATACGAAGTTGCTTTGTTAAAAGCACAATAAAATACATATTTACCCATTTACAATATTTTGTTTGTGGGCAGCATATATTTTTTTTATTTCTTAGCATTATGTCTATGAGATATAAAGTTAATTATACGGGCCAAACGCGTGGATTTGAAAATCTGAAAAACGACTCAACATACCTTCTCTAAATCAAATTCCACTTAATACTTTAATTAATGAGCAAATATGGCTAAAATATTTTACATAGAATTTAATATACTATAATTATCTTATTTTACAAATCAATCTTCCTCATATCTTCTATATCCTATACTGGTGATATTTGCGAAGTAATCGGATCTCAACTGGCATGCTTCAAGCCATTAACACTATAAGAAAATTGAATTGATTTTAAATAAAATTATCTTTTCGGATTTTTCGCGGATTTATTTTGATTTTTGGTTGCCGACGTCTCGAATGCTTTATAATTTTTTATATGGTCACGAAAGAGACCATGAATCTCATGAAACGTCGGGAACCAAAAATCAAAATAAATCCGTGAAAAAATCCGAAAATATAAATATATTTAAAATGTCATATTTCGCGTAAATTTTCGAAACTTAAAAATTATTATGGATTTATTTAAAACAATATTCTGATACGTTTCATTTTTTCAGAGTGCCACATCAATTTACATGGAATCAATGCAAATATTGGAACACTGTCGTAGGAGTAAAGGTGTATTGGGTGGAGTCGTGCTATACAATAATAAGTAAATATATTATTTTATTTTGTACACTTTAGTCTAAGAGATCTTTTGAAGTTTATTTTAGAAGTAATTTCTACAGAATGTAAAAACTGCTGATGGTAAGCTTTTGTAAGGTAGTACTGAATATTTGAAAATGTTTTATATTATTTATTTTATATATTCAGCCACTGTTGAATTTATAAAGGACAGTACAAAATATCAGTTAGTTTTCACAGTGACGACGATCGTAAATTTCCGTTACTAAAAAAAACAACATTAACACTTATTTCATAAATATATTAATTAGGTTTTTAGGCAAAATAGAATTTTCTTCTTCAGGTCCCTTACTAACATTTTTAACTCTACCTCTAAGGTTGAAACTACCTTCATTTAATATTACTTATACTTTAACGATTTCTTGCAGAATAATTTCAACGCAACTGCCGCCTAGTCTCACCTCATATTTAACAGTAGTGGATCCGTACAGAATAAAGTCTCCGGCGGAGAATATAGAGACTGAAGTCCCTTTGCCTTTGGGAGCTCAACTGTTAGTAGTTTACGTCGGAAGAAAAACTTATAATAATTTAAAAAAACAAGCAGATAAATTGCAAGAGTTTTATGAAAAAGGTGAAGAAGTTATTGCGAAGATTAAAAAAGTAAGTTTTTTTATTTATACGTAGTTTTTTATATATTATGCTTCCTTTATATAAAGTGTTCGTTTTTTTCTCTCCTTAAATAGTCAAAAATATGTGTGTGTGTGTATATATATATATATATATATATATATATATATATATATTTCTTTTTCTTAAATTTTTGCAATTTTATTTAACATAAATAGTTTACTTATTTATAAAGTTATATGATGTATATCTATATTATTATTTAGTTTAGTTACTTGTTTCTACAGTTACAAGAAGCGGAAAAAGAAAAAGCGCGAGAACATCCAACAACTGGTATGAAAAGGGACAAATCCTTACTATTCACTGCCGTACCAGAAGAAGATCACTCGATGATATCTCCGCCAAATAAAGAAGATAATCCAGGAATTCAAAGGAAACCAAGCATGCCAGATGTCGTACCTTTCACCAACAAACCAAGACCTAGACCAAATAAATTATCTCTAAGTTTCAAAACGCAAAAATCATTAGATGAAGACGCAAAAGAAAATGAGAAGGTCTTCACAGGACAAACTAGTGTATGTTCTACGCCAATGGTGGAATATAAAAGGTTACACGGAAATATGTTGTCAATATGCCAAAACCTTGACGACGAAAAGGCTGAAATAGAACCTGACGTGCTAAAAAACATCGAAAACTCAAACGTTCCCGACGAGAATCGAAACACCAAGGTCGTATTGGACGGCAATTGTATAGGAGAGCATTTCATAAACAAGCCAGAGCCGATAAGAAAATTGGCAAGTGTTACAGATTTGCAAGAATCGCTTAGAAAACTATCTAATAGAACGAACTCGAAAACTAAATTATCAAAATCTAAAGTGAACGAAAATTCGCCAGAACATAAAACCCAAAATACAATGACGATAAACGATCCACTTTTCCCAGTATTTAGGAACGATGGCGTCGCAATATCAGAATCGTTATTTAACCAATATTTAGAACAATACTATTCTGGTATAAAAAGAAAATCGAAAGAAGAGAACATGTTTAATTTCAACACGAAACTATGCGAATTGGACAAGTTCAAAGACTTCGATTCTGACCTAATGAAGTCGCCTCAACGGACGCCCAAAAAAGTAGCAAAAGAAGCAAAAACTATACAGACGGACCAATCGAGGCGAAAATCGCTATCGTTGCCACTGAAATCGTTGTCGGAGAACTCGGAACAAAATTCCGAATCAGATGCTGTTAGTTTGAAGAAGAAGTTATCTGGTGTGCAATTGACACCGTTAATGGAAAAACTTAGTCATTTAGCATTTTCCGACAAATCAAGCGGCTACAGCAGTAGAGTAATGACGCCTTTGGAACTGAGGGAATTCTTAACGCCGGCGCTAGAGAAACAAGTCACGTTCTCTGAAAGGTGAGTTATTTGATTTATTACCACGTTATGTTAAGGTTCACAAATGAAAAATTATATGTGACTAGCGGCTCACTCTCGCTTCGCTCGGTTTCGCCTCTAGAAGAACAAAAACAAATTATCCTCCGGGAACCGTATATTTTTCCGGGTTAAAAAGTGCCTATGTGTTTTTCCAGACTATAATCTATCTCTGTGCCAAATTTCATCCAGATCCGTTCAGCCATTCTTGCGTGAAAGAGTAACAAACATCTATACATACTCACAAACTTTAACATTTATAATATTTATTCTGACTAGTGACTTACCCTTGCTCGCTCGGGTGCGTCCCTAGGTATGTTTTAAATAGATATGAATAGTTATAGCGAATGTACCTTAGGAGAAAGACTTATGCTATTGCAGATTTTTCTGTATGCCTTATTGAGGAATACAATTTTCTAGTACATAGTTTTGATGTACTAGAAAATTGTAGATTAGATAGGTTTAGCCAGCGTTAGACTTGTAAATTTCGAAGAACGACTCGATAGAACCATTTATTGTGTTTTCCCGTAGGAATGAAAAAAATTTCTGTAGTAAAAGGTATCCTAAATGTTGACCCGAGTAATAAGTTATCACTACACAAAATTGAGTTAAAAATAAAAGTTCAGTACTTTTTGCGTGAAACGCGCACATCGGTTTCAATACGTTACAGTTTTATTATATGTAATATGTATAGATTAATTTTATTGGATTAGACTCTTACAAGTACTTTTTGAAACGACTTGATTTAAAGAAAAAGATAGTCCGTTAGAAAGCTACTACCGTAAAGAAATTAAATAGTTTCTATTTATATGAAATTATGTCCTTATTTTAATACAATATGTAGCTTTCCCATATAAATACTTACATCTTAATTATGCACATTTTCGTATATACAAGAAAATCTTGAACAGATAATATCTTTTTTTTATTTTTTATTGTTAAAAACGTAAAAAGACCGTTGATAAAATTAATAAGGGAAAAGTAAAAAAGTGTTGAAATATATTAGCTTACTTTAATATACTTAATGATATATATTTTTTTGTTATAAATATGAGAGAAATATTTTTTTGGTCCATTTTATTTTTCAATTAATTTTCATCTGTAACGAAACAAATAAATCCGAGAACTAAACTAAAAAATGACTAGAGATTATATTTATTTATATATATTAAAATATGAAATATGTACCTATAATAATTTAAAAGTAGAACACTGCCATTATTACGTAAATTAAATTTATATTTACTTATTATGACCTTTCGAAAAATAACGACCCTTTCGGATCGATTTACTTTAGAGGCTATTTTCGGACCATTGACCAATAAAACCTTTTACTACTTACGAGTAAAATAAAAATGATAAGTGCGAGTCTGATTAGCACATAGAGCGTTCCGTAGTTTAAAATATGTTGTTTTTAAACATTCAATTTCTTACGTTAAAAGTAAAATAAAAGATTTAACCATAGGCACTAGAATATTAATTTTATTGGCAGCATTAATATTTTTCTACTTCATATTATTTCTATGGAAAGGAAATTATTTTTTTAATTTAACAAAGAAATCAAACAATGATTTCAATTACAAGTCAAACTTAATACGTAATAAATTTTTACCGACTTCCACAAAGGAGGAGGTTCTCAATTCGTCGGAATCTTTTTTTTTATGTGTGTTCACCGATTACTCAAACACGCCTGAACCGATTTGGATTTTTTTTTGTTTCAAAGGGTGTACTTCCCAGGTGCTTCCATATAAATTTCATCAAAATCGGTGGAGCAGTTTTTTAAAAAATCAACAATAAATATTTTTTTAAATAAATTGTTTAATCGAATATGTTATTGAAAAACTTTCTTCTTACAAATTACCTGTTGAAAATATATATATATATATATATATATATATATATATATATATATATATATATATGCGTCTACACTAAAAATGGAAAACTAAAAACTTAAAAAAAAAAGAAACCGACTTCCAGGCACTAAATCGTAAAAAATAACTAAACGGGGGTTTTCATTTTTAGAATAGATACCAAATCAGATATTTTCGAAGTCGGTTCCTAACCAAACCTAACGTAAGAATTTAGATTTTGGTCATCTGAACGAGGGCGGAGCCGCGGGCAATGCTAGTATTGTATAAGTATCATCACCATTGTTTGTTTCCCTAATAAAAATAAAATAAAAAAAAAGCCTTTGGCACATAATTATTCAATAACATTTTTAAATCTAGCAGTAGAAGCTTGTTGAGCGTTTTCTAGAATAATGTTGTAAAAATGTATATACATTGCCATTATGTGCAACCAAGACACAGGAACTTCAAAATTACTTTTTACAAACAAACATAACTTTTGTACACATATTACGAATTGCCGCGACATTTGTACACATATTACGAATAGGCACGAATTGCCGCGAATAGCTGTTTTCTGCCGGGCAAAAATGGTTTTACTTAAATTAACTCCCTACAAAAAGGTACACTGGTGACTGATCACATAATCACTTAAAAGTTTAAAAATATATTGTAAAATATTTTAGGGCACTGACCTTTGATACATATATACTTATACCCTATTTAACAAAGAAAAGAAAATCTGTTGACAATTATTGGCGAAGACATCGCGTTACACAAAAAAAATAGTCAAATTGTCGGTCTAAGTTCTCATTTTGAAATTAGTCGGAGGGTCACAAACAGTAGATAGTAAGAAATAAGTCATCAAGTAAATCTATAAAAAAATAATTACAATTTTACACAGACTCCTAAAAGTGTTCCAATTTTTAAACTTTATTTTTTACCTTTTACATAATATGCAAATTTAAAAATCATTTATGGGTATTTGGAATGCATAAAAATGATAACGCTGTGGTATATTTAGTACACGATTAACCATTTTACGATTTGGAAAGGTTATTTTTATTTTTTTAATTAATTGTACTCGTTTCAGAGACTGATTATTTGTACCAGGTTACATTAAGGTTATATGCAACAGAAGTTTCAAAAATACTTAAAATATGCATGAATATTTTTTCCAATATGTGCATCATCAATTTACAAAAATCCTAGCAGCTCACCCTCGCTTCGCTTGAGTAAAACAATCACCTCTAGGAAAACAATAATAAACCTATCCCACGGGAACCGTACATTCTTCCAGGATAAATATATTATAAGTGCGGAAATTTATATTTGAATGTTTGTTACTGCTTCACACAAACGGAACGGTTTAGGGATGAAAAGTACACAGACAAACTAAGGTGGGGTAACACAAAAGCACTGTTTAGTAACTAAGCGAAACAAGAGTAATTCACTAGTATCGAAATAATAAACCAACCAATTATCTGTTCAGAACAAAACAACCCCAGGATGACAACTCCGACTCGGACGTCGAGTCCATCGACGCGCTGCCCACGTACAGCGAACGGGCAGTCAAGTGCGCTCTATTCGTGAGCGGGCTGCACAACATGGCGCTACTCGCCTTACTTGACATCGACGCGGCTAACAACACTGACACTATTAATGCTTTGGTAAGTATAAATAACGGTCCCAGCCCCCTAGGACCATGGGGTTTCATGCACTTAGGTTTTATGTTACAAAAATGCGTAACCGCAGGTGCGTTGTCACTGTAAGGACTAAGATGATATGCCTCTTGAATTGTTATAGAATATAAATCGTATGACTTCTTTCCTTCTGTAACTGCTAGATTTTAAATTGAAAGCTCTGAAAATCGTCAAAATAATTATTCACGTACTAATTTATATACATATTAAATTCGTATAATGTACAATTAAATAAATGTTCCTATGCTGGGCACTGTTATATAAACAAAAAATTAAAAGATCATAGTCCACAACGCTAACTTATTGCAGATTTTGCATTGCATATCTTAAAAATCTAGGTATGTTCATTGTTCGCTCAGACGTATCCGTAAAATAGTTGTCATTCGGAAGTGCAAGACCCAAGGCTTGAACCCGCTGTTTCCAAAGCGCCATTACCACTGAGTACCGAAGCCTTCAGCAAAAAATGGTCCAACCCACTGACAGTGACTTCAGGGATAATGGCTAAACTATGATTTTTCATTTAGTATTGATTTTAATTCCAAAAATTTTTGACTGACGGCCTATTCTATATTTAATCTATACTAATATAATAAAGAGGTAAAGTTCGTGAATTGTGAGTTTGTGACGTTGTAGGGTAATCTCTAGATCTACTGAACCGATTTAGATGAAATTTGGTAAGAAGATAGTTTGAGACCCTGGGACGGATATAGGATACTTTTTATCCCAGAAACCAACCCTTAAGAGGATGAAAGTTTTTATTGGGAAGCAAGCAAGGGACGAACTCGAGCAAAGCGAGGGTGAGTCGCTAGTACGTTATATAATTGAAAACCATCAAACATGTTCCAGTGGGAAACATCGCTGAACGCGCTCGGTCCCATCGAGCAGAAGTGTATGGAGCAGCTTGCCACGGAGACCGACACGTGCGACTACAGCTACCTGGTGCTGGACCCCGACTGGGGCACGGTGAAGAAGGGCGGGCCGTGGGCGGCGCTCGACATCGCCACCATGGGCTACATACACAACGAGTTCGAGGAACAACCCGACCTCACAGAACTTATATTGAGGTGTGTTATATTATAATATAGTTTAGTAATTTGGTCTACTGTTTTCTTTGTAAATTTGACTCAAAATTGAAAAATAGATTTATACAAGCTACAGATTATATAGACTTCAAATATAAATCGAAAATCTGAAAACTACTGTAAGTTGGCTCTCAAAATAGTGTCTCGTTATTTTTTAACAATATACAATATTAGATGATTGTGATTTTTATATCTTAATGATATTTCATGACCTTTATCAATATATTTTATAATATAGTTAAAAAATCATAAAATATGACTAAATAAGTCTGTAACTATTAACTATTGATAATACAAAATATCTGACCTATCCAATTTTGTTGCAAATATTATGTAATTGCATTTGCACCTTTTTTTTGTTTAATTATTATCGATATTTCAGTTCGTAAAAGCAAAAATTTGAAAAAGATAAGTATTCGTGAGCCTGTAACTTTTTTGTTATTGATGATATGAAAAAGTTGTCAAATACTTTTTTATAGGATTTTAAACGTACTACAAATTTGCCATTTAACATTTTTCTCTAACTCTTACAGTTTAGCTAAAAAATTAAAATAACCGTAAATTTGAACTTCAAAGCCATATAAACAAATCAAATATTGAAGATCGAAATTCGACTCAATGGAACTTTTTGTAGTAAATTTAATACTAAAAACGGTCCATTCATTCATTGTTTTGAAAAATATTTTCGTCACTGTTTGCAGGACAAAAAAGTGTTAAAAATCATATTTAAACGATGGAGAACCTCTTAGAATTGGATTTTGAGCTTCGCTTTTAACGGGAGCTTTGGTGGGACATTTTCTGAGATATTTTGGGGTGAGAGTGAAGAAAAAAATATATCGTCATTTTTTGGCACACCCTAATATATATATATATATATATATATATATATATATATATATATATATATATATATATATATATATATATACATACATACATACTAGTACAACCAGCGGCTTCGCTCGCCCTAAAACTACAAAAATCTAAAAAGGTAGTTTCATACAAACTTTCATCCCCTATTTTACCCCCCTTATAGGATGAATTTTGAAAAATGCTTAGACATGTATTTATTTAATTTTATTGAAGAGCATATTTAGGATCAAGTTTCAAGTAATTCTGATTAAAAATATTTTTTGCATTGTATTATAACGTGTTTTCCCGTGGGAATTACGTAATCTCCCGCGATAAAAAGGAACCTATGTCACGTTGTATTTATGTGTATGTCCAGCCCTTCAACTATCTCCGCACAAAAAATCACGCTAATCCGTTATTTCGTTTCGACGTGAAAGAAGGACAAACAAACATACTTTCACATTTATAATATTAGTATGGATATACAGTTTCATTTCGATACGACAATTTACAGTAGGTTAAAAATTAAAATTAAAAAATAATGCATTTAGAATTAAGCTACACTGTATATATTTTTACTAAACAATATTGTATTATCACTGGTGGATAAATAAAAAAAAATTGAGTTCCAAGATTTGATAACATAGTTTACAAGCGAATGGTATGTCGTGCAGGAGCGAGGAGAGCGTGGTGCTGGGCGCGGCGTGCGGGCGCGCGCAGACCTTCTACCAGGAGGCGGGCGTGCGCGCCGCCGGCCCGCCGCCGCCCTCCGACCTGCTCGCCACCGCGCCGTTGCGCGCGCGCCGCCGCCTGCACCGCGACCACTCCGCGCTGCTCTTGTAATTTCAACCTCATCAACGGCCTCTTAGACGTCTCCTTCGACTCTTCCTGACAGAAGGGGTTTTATAATTCCGAACTCTGGAACATCGTAATACCGGAGCATCACAACCTCCTCTACGACCTCCGGGACATCTCCTTGATCGCCGTCTGCATCGCGACCACTCCGCACTGCTCTTGTAATTTCAACCTCCTCACCGACCTCTTAGACTGGGTTTATACGACGTTGTCCTACACGTTTTTTTACAGTATACGTCTTAACAAATATATAGTGGCACATATATTGTACATAGAACCGTTTACACGTCTTTTGTACTGCAAAAAATCGTACACCGTTAATACGTTTAAACGCATACTCACCGGACTTATCAAGCAAATCGAATGAACTTTAATGTATTCGGTTTGCAGTGGTGCATAGTTTAGCTCTATCTCAACGTTTGAGAACTGCGGATATTAGTTTTTACAGAAATGAAAATCTACCGTGTGAATACCCGGCTGAATGTACGTTTAAAATCAAATACAAAAAAATCATGCAGGACAATGCCGTGTGAATCCCCCGTTAGACGTCTCCTTCAACTCGTCTTGACAGACGGGTTTTTATAATTCCGGACTTCGGAACATCTTAATGCCGGAGCATATCAACCTCCGGCACATCTCCTTCGAGAGTCGAAGGTTTTTTATGATTCCGTACTTCAGAACACCTCTTTGACAACTTGACAGATCCAAAGTTTTTCGTGATTCCGACCTCTTGGATTACTTGACAGGTTCAAGATTTTTTATTGATCTCTTGGCCATCTCTTTCTATATACTAGAATTTGTCTTCGCGGCCGCTCTACTCTATTCTTAAATGCCGCGGGACCTAGTAGCGGATTTAGGCTAAGGGCCGGGCATCAATCAGTCATGTTATATAATAAGGTATTGATAAACTTATTAGTTTATTGCCAGTCTGAATTAATCAAGCAAATTGCAATCTTTAATTACATCATACTCATACATTACTTTTTACTACATAACGAGATACCTACATTCCGGACTGAACTTTAAAAAAATTGAGATTCCCAATATCAGTAGCAGTCAGTTTTTTCTATGAAAAAACATAAGTCTCTTTTATCCATTTATAAAAACCGATTTATTCCACCGCTTTAAATGCGAAAGCAAAAATAAAAAAATGATTAAGGTGCAAATCGTCTCCAATAAGACATTGAATTAATTAATATGTTTATGGAAAAAAACGCATTTCTTTTAATATTAGCAAATGAGAGTTAAAGAGTTTTGATACGTTTTATATTACTTTCTTTTAATAATAATTTACAAATTATAAAAAAAGAGGTTTTTAAGTGTAAATAACTTGTGCTAATTAATTTCTTTCGCAATAAATGATATATTACTCGTATAATAATTATAATTTTTCAAATTAAGTATAAAATCAAATCATCTTCATAAATTTTAATAACAATTTCAGAACAGCATTCCCTCATACTTAACACTTTCCCAGAAAGTTGTTCCCTTTAGTAGTATAGACAATACGAGACGCAAGGTGCATTAACCCACAGACTTAAAAATTTGTACGACAATTAGTATATAATACTATTACTTTATAATAATTTTATAATCACCATATTTCAAGTTTGAACGTATCTTGGTCTAAAGCTAGAAAAAGGTAGTAAAAATTTAAGTTGAGAGTAGTTTTAAAATTTGATGTCGAACAGCCCTCACTAGAGGGCGGTAGCGGTAGGTAGATGTAGTCGCCGATGATTTAGTTGATATGTAGTAAAAATATTCAAATACCTTAAAAACGAAAACAAAATATTCGTACGTATTTTAAGTATTTATAAAAGATAAAAATACGTCGTGACTTTCTCTATACATCTAAAATAGAGCGTATTTAATTTATTTATTAATTATAATTATTATGTATAGTTTCGATACTTCGCCAAAATTTTTGCCATTTTCCTAATTAGTCCGTAGTTAAAGTTTACAGGATCCGTACATATCTTTGAATCCATCTTGAAAATTAAAATAGAAGTTGTTTATAAGAGCTAAATTATATTATTTGCTGCCAATGCAGCTTTACGGCCAAATATGCGAAACTTAACTTGTATTGCGTTAGTTTACAAACTAAATTGACACGATTCCGCCTAAAACGCAATTTATTCATTTTTCTTTTAACGCAAATTATAATTACGATCATTTCACAAATTAATCAAAAAAATCATTGATAAGCAAGGACTAAAACAATATAAGTTAAGTTTCTATACAATCCACCCATTTTATTGAAGTATAATCCACTAGGTAGTAAGTCTCCGGCCACGTAGTATATATTGCTAGTATATGCTCAATCTTGCCAATGTAGCTTCATATTTAGCTGTACAGGGGCGAATTTGGGAAGAGGGGAAGGGTTCACAATATTTTTAGGACCGCCTTTTCAAATTAATTATCAGATATATTTTTTTTTAATATTGTATTTAAAAACAATATTAAAAAATACAGCTAATTATATACAATTTATTATTGATTTTATATCCTTCCTTACCTATAGATTGAAAAACAACCCTAATTTGTTAAAAATTAGATTGCTAGTAATTATTGCTTATAAATATTCTATCGATCATTAGATTTATCTCCGGATACGTCTGTTTAGTTATAAGTGTATGGCCATCGTTTAAATTGTTGTACCTGTTATATTTTTCAGACTGAGTACTTTTAATATTTTTTCATGTCATGAAATATAGTGTATTTTGTTAATTTTGTTTTATAGCTATGTTTGTATGTTTACATCCTACTAAAGCCAGAATATTTTAAATTATATTCATATTATATTAAACATAATATAACCTTAAAATGGGTACCATCTTGGGTGAAGTTACGTAGCTCCCAATACATCTATTAGTAATTAATCTTCACTTTCAAAATATAGCCATTATTCTTATATTCAGGCATTGATAGAGATCCTTCTACAGGAAAAAGACCAAGTATAATCACAGCTATACACAGCTTACAAACTATCCATTTGTGAGTAAATTAAAGCGGTACCTTGATATTAAAAGCTTTAAATATAAATTAAAAAACGTGTGTGTGTACTTACGTACGTACGAAGTTATACTTCTTTGGCATACCAGAACAAAAAATAGCTAAAGATTTCATCCCCTATTGTCACAACTCTCCGTTTGTAAAAGGAATGCAGCTAACTTCATCATGTCGCTTTTTGGCTGTCCGTGTGCGCGCGAATCGTAAAAATTTTAGTCTTATATTTTTTTCAAACGTGCCAAAAGAAGTGTAACTTCAAAAATATGTTACCCATTATGAGCACCTGTAACTTAATCCATATAAACCTTTTAAAACACCGATCGCCCTTTCTAAAGATGTAACCAAATATACAACTTTTTACTGTTACGAACAAACGTCAATACGTTTGTTTCATATACATATGTATGTTTGCGCCGAATGCTTAGCAATATTGTTGCATTGTGAAGTGTTAAGGTTAATATTTAAAAATAGACGTCGGACAAAACTGGGAAATTAAAATCTATAAATTTAATATATAAACACTTTAAATGTACGTCCGTGTAACACAATAGAGGACTTACAACATATAATTCATCTGAAGAAGTACTTAGAAAATGTTACTTGCTAAACTCACTATCTTGGCAAGTCCGATGTCTATTTATATCCAAAGTGCTATTTATTTCCTTTGGTGTCTAATAGTAAGTTTGTTTATATTTTATAATAATCTATATACCTATTACTTAACTTAAACATTCCTATTTTAATATACAGAATCAGTGCAAAAACCATCGCGTCCGAAGTCAAAAATTTTTTTTTTAATTATTGAATGTGTTTTCTATCGCCGTTGTATTATTTATATTCTATATTTATGGAGTGCCAACGTCAGTTGTGGTAAATAGATGTTAAGAATAACCCGATAGTGAGACTTTGTTAATTGTACGCGTAATAAATATCCCAAATAAAGAATAATGCATATATACTTATATTATTTATATACCAAAATATTATACTATAACTACGATGAAGCTAACAAAATATGTTACATATTATTAATATTATTATTATATGTACCGATGTCCAAAAAACGACGCGCTATATGCGTCAATTATGAAAATTTTGAGTCTAAAGAAACCTATATTCTACAGACTTGGCATCTTTAATATTGTTTAGGATGGAGTCTAATTTGCTAGTAACGGTGGAAATATATCATGTTTTGAAAGACATCAAATTGTTTTGAACTAATTTTCATTTAAAAACAACAGATTAGAATAAAATTAAGTGATAAAAGAAAACCAAAAATGTTATAAAACATCTAAATAGGCAATTTTGAAAAAAATCAACCAAAACAAAGTTAAGAAACAACACATATACCGCGTCATTATCTACAAACAGGGACAGTAACGGATAACAGGTGGGACAATAAAATGAATGAAGAAGAATCCGTGTGACATTAAAAAACTATCAATTTATTAACAAGTCGCTCACAAAACAAGACTACAACTAAAGTTACCGAGTTATATACTATATATGATACATACATACGGATAAAATGCATAGGGATCACCATGTAAAACGTGTAGCAAAATACTGTATCGTTTTAAATTCGGTCTAGTCAAAGAATATGATACTTCGGTCTTCTCGGCGTTAAGATCATATTCTTTATTAGAATCGGCGTCTTCGGCAGCCATTTCGAAAAGGGCTTTTCTAAACATTTTCAAAACTTCAACACAGTTAGTTTCAAGGAACTTCATCCTTTACTTCTTGTTTCAATACCTTTTTAAACAAACAAAATCAAAATTAGATTTTAGTCAATTTATTTTTTACCTAGAGCGCTTTACATGCTAACTTACATCTACGCTTTACGCTAACAAACAGTCGGCCGTCGTCCGACGCGCTTACAAACAAACATATACTAACTAACATTAAGGGTTTTATAAAGAAAAAAAATGTCCAATCTGGTGGGTGGTATGTAGATTTTTTTTCTTTATAACACAGTACCGGCCGTACAGGTACGTTTTAAATGCATTAGAGGCCGGCGATTTGAAGTGGCGTATCAAAATGTATACGTGGGGAGCTCCTCAGCTAATATCGACCTGCAAATCCAAACAGCAGCGTCACCACGGGTCATTAGGGCGCCCAGACACGTGCTGCAACAAGCCACCAACACTCCACCTCTTATATACAACACAATACATTCATAGGGGCCATTTAAGTATTACATAAGCACCAGAGAGGAGCGCGGGGGGCAGGGGGGGGGCTTTTCTTTGCTTATCTTTGATGACATGAGGGACGGGGGTCTGGTGGGTGATTACGTCAGCAATATTTATTTAAAATTTAGTGAATTTTGATTTGTTATATCAATGTTTATAGATCACACATGACAATCCTACTCATCTATGCTCAAAAGCGAAAAGCATGTTCTGGGATTCTCCAAAATAATTCAGACGTAATGTTTACATAAGCATAGGAGAGAGTAAGAGCTATGCTTTCGCTGAAAAGGGGGAGACACGGGACAATAATTAAAATAACGGGACAATAACTAAAATTTTTGCTTACATAATACTTGCATGGCCCCATTCATATATATCAATACCATAAAGGGTATCAGAAATAGAGCGAGAATATAAGTGGTATAACTTGTTGAAACACATTCACTTCATCGGTTACTAGATTTGTGGGCCAGAACACTTTTCTATCAATTTACACGAAGACTAAACATCAAACATTTTTGATAATCATAAATTATATTAGATATTATTTTCTTCTCACATAATAAATCCATAGAAAAGTGTAATTACACAGTATAAAAGACAATAAACATACAGGTAAAAACAAATTGAAAAGAATGATGTTTTTTAAATTTGGAAAAACAAGCTTTTTTAGCTTACTACAGTTCCATGATTAGTTATTTAAGGATATATAGGAAACAAATGTACTTAGGAACTGTGTAGGTCATGTTTTCTACCATACAAGAAAAGTTGTCTCATTTCGTTTTGAATATTTTAATATAAGTTAAATATTGAAGTCCACCAATTCGCACTGGGCCAGCATGGTGGACTATGGCCTGTTCCCCCTCGTTGAAGGGAGGCCCGTGCCCAGCAGTGAGACGTTAAAAAGGACTGAATACATATACATACAAGTTAAATATTAAAAACGAAATATAGACAAGTTGACAATTAAATCAATAAGTATTTAATGAAATTCTTAATACTTTATTAATATTTACATTTTATTGATACAAAGAGAATGTGGAGGATATCTTTGGTTACACATATTTCGACAGAGACACATATAATTAACAAATTTACAAAGGTTACGGGGAGAAAAGGAAATATTTCTTTTTGTAAGCATTACTTACCGTTGTCTGACTGTATAGAACTTTAATTACATTATAAACTGTCAAACTTACATATAAAAATCATGCATGCTTATCACTAAAAAGGATTTTTTTTGATACAAAAAATTATGTGAAATAAGAAATGTGTACATTCAAATTATAAGGACAATTGTGTTAAAACAAAATTGGCAAACATCAAAAAAAATAATCATTAAAACTAATTAGACAAAAAAGGTTTCTGGGACATACAGAAGTAAAGAGGTCTTATATGTATGTGAACTTGGACAGTTCTCAAGATTAAGGGCCACGTAATGGTAAAATAAAAAAAAATGTTTAGCTAGAATTGAGTAGTTGCTGACTTTAAGTATTAAATAGCAAACGAACAACACTAAAATCTTATCAGGCATTTTTTATAAAGTAGGTGGATTTTGAAAAGAGTTAACACTAAGATTATTAGTGTTAACTCTTTTCAAAATGATTTGAAAATCTTGAAAAAATATTTATTGAATGACTAATTAGTTATCAATTCCAATCTGCTTTACAAAAAGGCCAGATGGGCCGAAAACCGAATTATTGCCGGATAATCGTTTATAATAAATGTATGTCAATCTTTTTGTAAAATATACATAAACAATATGACAGGTTATGATAAAAAAATTGCGAGTCATATGCACATATGCCTCAAAAAACTTCACCAAAAACTATCAACGCACGATATATAACGCGCGAGTCGTATCATATTATTAACACAGTCACGAATCTATATAAATAACAATCAAATGCAACTTAAGAACAGTTGTATAGAAAAAAATCACAAGCTAAAAGTATTCTCTCATATTTGAATATGAACGCATTAATATTTAGACGGGACATAATAAGACAGCAGGAAACATTCCAAACACAAAATTGAATACAGCAAAAGTCAGCAACCAATCAGCCCAGCCACTTACAAAGCGTCCACAGTGGGGGTGGTGGCAGTGGTGGTGGTGGTGGTGGTCTAGGGGCGGTACTCACGCGGCGAGTAGGAGCGCTCGCGCTCGTAGCGGCGGCGGCGGTAGTGTGGCGACGGCGAGCGGTGGCGGTAGCGCGCGTAGTAGTCGCGCTCGCGCTCGCGGTCGCGCTCGCGATAGCTGCCGCGGTAGTAGTAGTCGCTATGGGAGAGACCAAATGTTACTCATCTCCATAACATGCAATTGATAAAACAATATTGATTTTTTTAGTAAACAAAAAAATACAGGTATAATTTCTATATAGCCATAACTTTACAAGAATCTTTGAATATTCAAGTTATAACTTTTTAAAACAAATTAAAATGGCTAGCATTGTTTTAAGTAGCAATATTTTTCTAAAACTGTGAAGTAATAAAATGGAATAACTATAAATTCCTTTTGCACTCTATATGTAGAACTGATTGTTGATTCTTTAAATATAACATTATTTTTTTTATTTATGAACCGATTGAAATAAAACAAATCACAAATAAAGTGAAGAAAACTGCACCCAAATCAGTTAAGCTCTTTCTGAGATTAGTGCACACAAAGGCACAGACAAAAATTCAAAAAAATATTGTTTTGGGTTCTATTGCGTTAATAAAGACTCACAATAATAGTTTTTCTTAAATATCTTCCACATACAGACAACAATCAGTTGCACTTATACTACGTATAGATTAAAAATAAATATTTTTAATGAAACTTACTCTCTGTCCCTGCGCCTATCGTAGCCATTATCGCCTCTCACACTGCAAGATTAAAAATATTTATATCACATATAACATTTCACAAATATTTATTATATTATGAAAGTACCAATTATATTTTTATACATATATTATGATTTTATTGTGTAAATGTTCAAGTAAGCCTTTTGTGAACCAGTGTCACTTATAACTAGTCCACACTAAATATACTCATTCATCTACCAATACCTAGGACACTTACAAATATGTAACTTGTAAGCAATTTTAATATTGGACCTACAAACAAAAATATAATTTTTAAATATTGTCTGTGTTTACACAGTATTGATATTATAATCCACATCTTTACAAAGTTCAACATTTTTATATATATAGTTTTGAAGTTAAATTGCCAGTTAGTGCCATCTTATGGCATGTTTCATCCTTGCCATGAGATGTACATCTCATGAACAGGATAGGACATATTCGGTCTCCGACTGCATAATACTATATCCTTTCATCAACTTATTTTCATCTTTTTAGTTAGCTTTTATGCATTTGGGTTTTTTTATTTTTATAATATACTTTTTATATTAACAGATTTTTAGCATTGTTCAATTAAACATTTTAAGTTATATTTAGCAATATCTTGTCCTAAAATATTTTTAAACATATAAGCTATATATATTTTTGTGATCGCCTCTTAAAAACCTTTATTTTGATATACCACGCGACAGGATTGGAAAAAAAATTTAAAAACACAAATTAGCGCCTGGAATCCGCCATTTTAATTTCTAACTATTTCTATACATAGCCTATAACACTTTTAAGACAAATCTAACGACGCATAAAATATGAATGATCAAACGAGAGAACATAGATACACCAACACATAACCCTCCTTTGGCCATTCGCCGCAGTCGGGTAAAAAATAAATGTAACACTCACTGAGTGGGCTTGCCCATGTAGATGCCTGGCGTGGGCGTGTGCGCGCGCTGCGTGATGGAGTAGTCGACGCGGATGCGGCGGCCATCGATCTCCATGCCGGTGCACTCGTTCTTGGCCACCTTAGCATCGTCCTGCGACTCGAAGTACACGAAGCAGAAGCCGCGGGAGCGACCGGTCTGAAATTACAAGAAATTAAATTAAAAAAAAACATCCTATTCATCGATTCCATTTTTGTTTAAACCAAAGCCATCAGATCCATGTTTAATTTTCCTAAATGCATACATAATAAATATATTCTGCAAGATCTTAAGCTCATAAGTCATAACTGTTAAACAAGAAATCACTGCCCATAGTCAAAACTACCAGTATAAAATAACCCAACATGGCAATTCCCTGGCTGCTGCTTTGGCGGGATCTGGACGTATTATTTTGTAACTGAGGAATAACAGTGTTCAAAATCTAATAAACCGATTCTCAATGGAATAATCGAGACTGGTCAATGGACAATTTCTCACTGCTACAAAGAGCTATAACAGAATAACTTCGAACAAAGGAGCAGCTAAATGTCTAAGGTCAGATTGTTGCGTTGAGCAGGATACATAAAAATAAATATTGATTCCATTTTGATGAACCTTACGACAATATCTGTGTAGTGTTTTAATAAATTGAATATCCTGCAGATTCCAGGTGACACTGCAGCATCAGGCCTTAAGTATGCCATATCGTTGCAATGTCATTGAATGGGATACCAATTTTTGAATGGATTAGATCTGTGGAAGTTGCTCATATCCTTTTAGCAAAGAGCTGATAGTCTGCAAATGGATGAACCGATTTTCTTAATTTATAAGTTATAATTAAGGACTCTCGATAAGTCATCTTTACAGCAAAAAAAAATAAAATCCGCTTATCCGTTTGAGCGCTGCGATGTCATAGACAGACACACACTAATCTAAAAACATGAAAAAAAACTAAGTCAGTCAAAATTAGATAGATTTCCCAAAAATAGCTGTAGTTTTTAATTAGTTTAATTATAAGTAGGCAATATAACATCCATGAGGGCAGTGGTAGCCCAGTGGTAACGCGCTCGCTTGGGAAACCGAGTGAAGCGGGTTCAAATCTCGGGTCTCGCACCTGATATTTTCATGTGCGAATCATTTCTAACATTATTACCACTTGTCTTACGGTGAAGGAAAACATCGTGAGGAAACCTGCATGTCTGAGAGAACCTAGCAAGTTTTAGAAAGACATGTGGACTATGGCCTGATCCCCCTCGTATTGAAGGGATGCCCGAGCCCAGCAGTGGGACGTTTAAAAAAAAAGAGCTGAATACAATATAACATCACAGTTCAAATCTAAGAATCGAAACAGTAGATATAAAAAAAGATAACCACTGTGGCTAACTGTAGGAAAATATGCAATCTCACTTTACATACTTTCGTACAATAAATAGTAGTTTAATTATACTAAGCGACTCTCCCTCGCTCCGCTCGAATTCTTCCCTAGTGAAAATTTAAGTTTGTATGTATTTTAATCCCGAATCATAAAAAAAAATAAATAAAAAATGTTGTTCAAAACATTTTTTTTTTGTGGTGGACCAAGGTGGTCACTTGAAAAATTATTTACGTCCTATTCTCAGACCTACTGAATATATACACAAAATTTTATAACAATCAGTCAAGCCATTTCGGAGGAGTTTTAACAAACACTGTGAAAAACAAATTTTAAATTATTCAAAGTTTTCATAAACTCTACAATTATAATATAAAAATATTTATTTATAATGCAATATACTTTTTAAACAAGCTTAACATCAGCATAGGTATTGTATTTATTACTTATACAATATAGGAATTAGACACAAATACAATGTAAAACTTGGCAAGACTAACTCACTTGCTCATATTTGGTACAATTTTTAGAAAGTATTTTATATTTCTGTTTTTAGTAATAATCTCCTCTAAACTATACATATAATAAAATTGGAATTAAGTCGAATCTGTACATTAAATATTTTTTTCAAAAGAGTCCGAATTTATAGTTTTTAGAATTTTTGTCTGTCTGTCCGTCTGTTACCGCATCACGAGAAAACCACTGGACAGATTTTGATGAAATTTGGTATGATGATAGCTGGATATTCGGGTCAACATATAGGATACTTTTTACCGCGGGAAAAATTTTATTTCTGAGAAAAAAATACAAAAACTGCATTGTAAGAGTATACTAATATGTAAAACATAAGAATTTGGTTTTTGGTCATCTGAACGCGGGCGGAGCCGCGGGCAATGCTAGTTAAACATAATATACATTATAAAGGCAAACAATTAATTTTTTTAGGGTTTTTGAAGTAGTAAAAAAAAATTCTTAAACTGTTTTAACCTCAGCGATATTAGTATTTTATTTATTTATTAGCTTCACCAGTGGTTAGTTACGATAATACAATTTAATATATACGAGTACAATTTTTTTATGTTCTTATAGCTAATTGCACTACCTTTTAAGGCGAATACCACATGCAAATTTGGAGATTTTATAAAATGTTTATATCATATCTGTTACAATAATAAATTTCTATTATAAAATATTAAATTAAATAAATAAAAAATACACTAACACAATTAAAATAATACATAATAATGGAAAAAGATTACAATTCGAATTAAAAAAAAAACCTAGACAGCATGTCCCCGAATGGATCAAAGGTGCTATGATTATTAATAATATTACAAAAACGTGACAAGGGAGAGTGATTACCTAAAACAGATCTGCGAGAAGGCGCTACGAGAATGTTGATCGGCTTTCGTGGACACCTAGGCACTTTTAGAAAAAAAGATGACACTAGTGATGAATTGTCATATAAATTGTTAATAGTTTTATATAAGAAACTTAAATCAAATATATCTCTTCTTTTTTCCAGACTAAACATCCTAAAATACGTAAGCCTTTCTGAATAAGTTGCAAGTGATCTAGATTTGCCCAGTGAGAAAGCGAGATGATATAAAAAACGCTTTTGGAGCCTTTCAATTCTTAAACAGTGGGTAGCATAATGGGGTCTCCAGACAACACTTCCATACTCCAAAATATTCAAAACTAAACTTTTATATAGGGGGCATTTCACGTGAAGCGGACAACGAAAATAAAGTGAGGTTGTGAAAATTGTTCATACTCTGGTCAGTTATAGTTCTAGTGGGCATGGATGTGCAAATACATTATTTTTTTCGTATGATGCTTTATTGCCGAGTTATGAGCTTTTAAAAATTTACGAAGTATGAAATCCGTACTTATTGAATGCATATTATTTGTATCAATCAATTTGTAAAAATATCTAAAAAATATCGTTACTGACAGTTAAAAGGATGCAGTTTTTATTTTTTTTCATGGAATTTCAAATTTGTTTTTTTTTTTACGTATAGTAAACCGGAAGTGAAGATTTCAAATGGATGTTTGAGTAACTTCGACATAATTTTTTTTCAATATTTTAACTTTGAATTAAAGCTTCAAATATCTTAATTCTTCACAAAAAAATTATTACGTGATCGCCAATAGTTTAGGACTTAGAACATATTGAGTACATACACATCGCACTGCGCGCCACATCTAGTACTTTTTTAGTTGAGTCTGTCGACTTCAAAACATACTATACCTACTCAATTTTTTTATAAAGTGATATACCTATTAAGGAATTAAATATAACTGCTAACAAATATGATTACCATTAATTTATTTCTTTTCTTTTTATAGTAAGTATTTGCTATTTTTAAATATAATTTTTCGTTAAAAAAATCTCACTACAATTTTTTAACAAAATTACGAGTGTGAAATAAGAGAGTACGTATAAATCGCAACTAAATATAATAATATACTGCTAAAAGTAGTTAAAATCATACGAGTAAGTAAATATATGGAACAGGTACGTTCTGTTAATTGAGATTGAAATTGAATTATAATAGATGACTTTATTTTGTAATTTTTACAATTTTACTATTTGCACTAGTACTGATTCTTCTAACATATAGACCTTCATTGGTTGGAAGAAAAGCATAAAGTTTTTTAATTTCTGGAACGGTGATAACGGAAGCAAAACGGATTCGTAGAAAGTCTCGCTCTCGTTGTATACTTTCCTTCGAGCAGTAGTATATTGACGTTTCAGTCAACGAAGATTTTACCCATTCATACAACCTCAAAGGTGCAGTGATAATTTTGTTGGTAGACTGTAAACTGACACGTGTTGGCAGACGTTTAAGATTTCCCCCAAGACCATCACATGGCCCTTTTCCATGAGCTGTGGCATGAAAGTGTAATTGTGTTTCTTTGTTAAAATCTTGTTTATAATAAAACATATTGTCCCTTTGTAGCAAGTATCGACTATAGATATTGTATTTCTTAGTCATTCTTTTTGCTACGAAATGGCGTTCACCATCATATCGTTTCGGATATGACTCCTTTATATGAACTTGTTATTTTGTAACAAATATTTGTATTGTTAATCATTTTTATATAAAAAAAGAAATTAATTTCGTATATTTTTATATTTATGCATGTTAAAATGAAAGAATAAAATGGTAACAGCATAGTATTTTAGCATGTTAACTCATAAACATGACTGCTACGAAAATTCTCCTAGCGATGTGTATGTATTCAATATGCTCTAAGTCCTAAACTATTGGCGATCACGTGTTATTTTTTTTGTGAAGAATTAAGATATTCAAAGCTTTAATTCAAAGTTAAAATATTGAAAAAAAAATAATTATCTCGAAGTTACTCAAACATCCATTTGAAATCTTCACTTTCTGTTTACTATACGTAAAAAGAAACAAATTTGAAATTAAATAAAAAAAATAAAAACTGCATCCTTTTAACTTTCAGAAACGATATTATTTAGATATTTTTACAAATTGATTGATACAAATAATAATCATTCAAAAAGTACGGATTTCATACTTCGTAAATTTTTAAAAAACGCCGCCTGGGGAAGAACGACGGGTTATGTGGGGCTCCTGCCGCGCAAAGTTGGTAAACGCGCGGCAGCCTACCCACTAAAACCTGACGGTGTCCACCTCTGTCGCCCTGAGGTCGGGGCCACGGGAACCGGAAAATCATCCGCGAACCCCGACGGCGATTGCCCTACGGCACGTCTCGGTGTCGGAGGGTGGGAGCAGCACCCTCGACGACCACCGTT